ACTTCTCATGTGTACAGTTACGATCCTTCATCTTGTGAAAACGAACAACCACGTCGTCATCATTTGGAACTGTAGCTATATTTTAAAACGCAAGGAGTAATCCATATATTTATTACCGATACGATTGCGTGCAGTATTGTCTACACAACTTTAATTACCGAGAAGGTTATCTCCAATGATAAAGGAGAATTAGTACCACATGAACTAGTAAGTGGGTATTTTTCTTCTCAAGAATCACACTCCATTATACTTTGCTTGCCTATTAATTTATTAAAAAATGGAATGATTAATATGTAAAACAAAATACCCACGCTGCTGTAGATGATCAAAATCACTAATTTCTTACCTTCCACTTTTCTAGAAAGAATAAATTTATGTTTATGTAACAGAAATTTGGAGAAATTTCATATTTCAGAACCCTAACTTCCTAAAATTTTGGACTTGAGAAACCAGCCTACAACCAATTTGTGATGATAATAATTAAGAAATTGTGATGGGGTTAGTGGGTTACCCTTGCCAATCGGCGAAGATTGGGCGAAGCGCTTCGAGCCAGACTGCACTGCAGCAGGAATACAGAGCAGCACAACAAGGCAATTTGTGGACTTGTTTAGCAGGAATACAAAGCCTTCTGGGCTCAAATCTCATACGTATATTGGGCTGTTGTATAATAAGTGCTAGCTAATTTTCTATTTACTACTTGTTAGTATTGTTTAGTTGCTAATTGAGCTTGACCAGAACAATATCACCGGACCACCGGGGTCTAGTAGTTTCCTTGACTGGGGTCGTAGCTGGTAAATTAGTGCTGGTACAAGATGTTTGTAAAAAATCGTCGGGGTCTACTGACCCCGATAAGTGACTCTAGCGTCGCCCCTGGGTAGTAGTAAATCGTGCCCAACCCAAAAAGTTTGAAATCAATTCCTGCACTTACACTCCCGTTTCTGGCACCGAGATATTGTAAACTTGTGATCAGGGAGTTGAGTGTTGCTTTTGCTTGCCTATTCAGCATGGCTGACCTGGTATCTCCATATATAATTCGTTCAAACAAAATAAAATAAAAAACATGGTATCTCCATTAAGAAACCTATAAAGGTTCGCACGCTGGGCGTCTTCCGGGGCGAGCCACGTCAGATTACTGTGCAGTAACTTGGTAACTGTTGCTGTCCTACGTGGACCAATTGCCGCGCGGCTTTGTGCGCCTAGCGGCCTGTTTGGTTGGAGGGAGTTTTGCCTAGCGGCCTGTTTGGTTGGAGGGAGTTTTTAGGAGGGATTGGGAGTTTAGAAGGATGAGGCTATTAAATGTTTTGTTTGGTTGAGAGACATGGGAATTTTGGTGGGATGGAGATGAGGAATTGAGGAAGGAACTCCCTCCTTTTTAATACCTGGGTAGGGGCAGGTAATTGGGAGGATGGGAGGGAATTCCTCCTTTACTTTCTCTATTACTTTCTCTAAGCAAATCTCAGTCATCCGTTTTTATTAATGACCTAATCTCCAACTAAACTCCCTACTAATTTTCATTACCTCTACCAAACAATGTATTGGGATTAAAAATCAAATTTATATCTTAATCTCATCATCACTTCTCTTATGTAAACTCTCAGTCCCCTTCCTTCGAGTTACCAAAGAAGCCATAGGTGCAGGTGTGGAGCAGTTGGGTAGTGGCCTCGTGGTTGGTAGGTGCATGCGTTTTCTGATTAAATCATCGTTGCTGCGTATGGTGGTTTGCGGTGCCTGTGTGGTGGGCCTTTTTTTGTTTTGTTGGGTCCATTGGTCAGCGTTTGATTGAGTTTGGTTTCGGTTGTACTTCCTCCGTTTTAAATGTAAGTCATTCTAGCATTTTCCACATTCAAATTGATCTTAATAAATCTAGATAGATATATATATTTAAATTTATTAGCATTAATATAAATGTGAGAAATACTAGAATTACTTTCATGGTAAAACGGAGGGAGTAGTATTTTTGTTGCTTGCACGTATCGTCGCTTCGGCTGCCGCGCCCACGCTTGGTGCGGGATCTGAGTTGCCAATCGCGTCGCTTGGTCTTTGCTAGGCCCACGGATCATTGGCTGGGTGAGCCGAAGCCGAAGGGGCGCGCGGGCGTCGTCGCCTCGAGTGGAAGGCACGCCGTTTCGCATACCGCACGAGCTTTGGTAAACTTGCATCTGCATCAATCACTGCAGCGTGGGCCTTTAGTTATGTGGGCCCATAGATCAGACAAATCTTTATATACGATTTCAGGGGTGGAAATGAGGCGTGTGATTGGGCCACGTGGCTCACTGATTATTTAGGGTTAGTTCATCTGAAAATCAGCCACGTGTCCCTGTGCAATCTTAGATAGTCAGATCAGTAACTTCTCAAGCTGGCCTGTCTTCTCCTACCTGATTGGTCCACATGGACTTACAAAATGTTGACATGTGGAACAAAGACAAGATGCAGCCTGCAGCTAGCCTGCTAGCTACGCTCTGCTTTCATGGTTACAATCCTCTAGATACTTCCAAGCTCGTAGAAGTATAGTCAATAAATTAAATTAAGAACACCTAGATCCTTTGGATGATCTCAAAAATATTAACCCTAGAATAAACATTACACAGCGAAAAACGATACAGCACAAAATTTAGGAAAAACTAGGAGAAATACCATAAATTGGAAAATAAATAATGACATGTTATAGTGAAAAAATAGTTGTCAAAAGAAATAATAAGGCCAAGACTTTCTTTTGAGAAAAATCAACAACTCAAGTCTAGAGCCTAGATGCTTTTGAGCTAAGGGTACAAGCGGCTACCCACAAAAACCCACTTATAGGCTAAACTAACCTGCAAACTCGTTTATTTTGACCTATAAGTGGGTTCGCGGGTGACCCGCTTGCACCCCAATTTTGAGCAGGTCTTTAAAACTGGAGCTCAAAAAATAAATAGAGAAAACAATGGAAAATTAAAATGTAAAAAAAAACATATCTCTAAATTTGAAGCTCCAAAAAAAAGATAACACAACTGAAAATCAAAATATGTAAAAAAAAAGGGAGCTAAAAAATAGAGAAACAAACCAAAATCCAAAATGTAAAATTTAACAGCGGAGCCTCCTCTACTGTGTTCCTTAAAAAAATCACAATGTAAAAGAAAAAGAAAGCACCCATGGATATCAGTTGCACTGTATAGCTCTGACGATTTCAGATGCTAGATGTGGTCGATTGACTATGATAATAATTGAAAATCCAACAGCTCGCAAACAAAATTTTCCAATTTATGAAAGCTACACGTAATTTCTTACTGAACATGCATTTTTAAATAACAAGTAGGTAACATAATAAGGCATATATTACTATTGTATTTCCACTCTCAACCTTTGATAATTAAATTAATTATGTAAAAACTTGCAAAATTATTCTGATCATGTCACAGGCTATAAATTTTGAAGCACGCCAACTGGCGTGCTGATGATTTTTCTAGTATTAGAACTAAAGAAAGAAGCGTGGGGATGGAAAGCGTAGGATCAATATGCTAAGCTCATTTATTTGCTCACGTTACCTTCCAACTCACTGCTCATCTCCTCTAAGAGCAGGTTTAAGAGCAAGTTTAATAGGATAGCCAACTACTAACTCCAAATCATCTAGAGCCAATATAATAGCCAATTCATACAATGGTTGCTTACTATACTATTAATACCCGGTCCTACCTGTCATACACTCGTTACGTTTTGGAGTCCGTACTGTAGCTGGCTACATATCTGTAGCCCGCTGCTATTCTCTCTCTTTCTTTATCTCTTTAAAATATATTTATAGCTGGCTTATAGCCCGCTATTGTACCTGCTCTAATAGTATCGCCAGCTACAGGCTATAAATGTGTACCATGTCATCTTATAGCTAGAGAGTACAATAGTAAGCTGTTGACACGTTAAACAAGTAATATCTTTATTAATTTTTTAATCACCTCAATCTCTTTCTTCTTTACCCTTCCCTCTCTCACTCCGCTGCAAGACTGACAAAAAGCAATGCACAGGCGCCTAGGAGCTCGTGTGCACTGGCGACTAAGGCCCTGTTTAGATGGGACTAAAACTTTTAAGTCCCTATTACATCGGATGTTTGAAAATTAATTATAAATATTAAACGTAGACTATTAATAAAACCTATCCATAATCTTGGACTAATTTGCGAGACGAATCTAATGAGCCTAATTAATCCATGATTAGCCTATGTGATGCTACAGTAAACATTCTCTAATTATAGATTAATTAGGCTTAAAAAATTTGTCTCGTGAATTAGCTTTTATTTATGTAATTAGTTTTGTAAGTAGTTTATATTTAATACTCTAAATTAGTGTCTAAAGACAGGGACTAAAGTTAAGTCCCTGGATGTAAACACCACCTAATTTACCGTCCGCTCGCACCCTCTTTCCTCCCTTCTCTCGTCCATGTCATCATCCAATCTGACGTGTAGCTCATATCGCCGGCTCAATCTACCTTATTAAACCTGCTCTAGGAGCAAGGATAATAATATAGCCAACTTCCTACTATTAGCCTATCTTAAAGCCAACATATATAATAGATTAGCTATAAGGTTGGTACAATTTTTTTCTCCTCTCTCTATCTCTCACTTATACATTTAATGTATTTGTCTTGGAGCTTGTGATAAGCTAGCTCTTGTATGAGAGCCAACATCCTTAATTTTTCACTACCTCTCTTATCCATCTAAGTTTATAGTAGGCTTATAGGTCACTATTATACTTGCTCTAAGGGCACCCACAATGGTTATCTATAGGTTCTCTACAAGAGATCTATGTCAACATATTTTTCTACTTGGAATGTATTAAATAAAGAGAGAGAGCAAAGCTATCTACTAACTTAGAGATAGTCTATAGAGAAAAACAAGGCAATGCATGAGAGAGCTATAGATACCAATGTAGACATACTATTATTAAGATGGTTTACTATTAATCGAGTATATTGTTAAGATGTACATGTTTTATAGAGAGCACCTTACTTTACCATTGCGGGTGCTCTAAGACACCGCTGCCTTCGTCCGCTCCGGTCGCAGCCGGCGGCGCCACAACTGTTATCCTCCCACTCCCACCAGCCGGTTTCGCCCTTTTCGTCGCCATCCGCTCCTTGTCGCCGTATTGGATGAGAAGCTCCACGGTGCCGCCGAGCTCAACCTTGGCAGATTGAGGGACGGTGTCAACCTCGGCGGCGGATTGAGGCGGCCCCTCTTCTCCACCCCTTATCGGTGAACACAGATGCAAGTGGTGTGGGTCGACGACTGCAGATCGAGCGATGAATAACATCTCATTTGGTCATGGATCCTGACGGGTGAGATCTACTCAGGTGAAGTTTCCTTGCCGATATGTTTCTTGGTCTTCCATGCTCACGTTTGATTCGTTCTATTCCTTGTCTTTGTTTCTATCAACAAATTTCAATTGTTCTTCGTTTGGATCGTCTCCATTACTCAAACTCGCAGCTATTTTGCATTCGTGCATGGTGGGTACCGACTCACCATCAGCCTCTCCACCACTTACATTTTCCTGGTTTTTCCTGCTTAGGTAAGAACGCCATAAGATTTCCTGTTTGTTCCTTTGGTCTGCTTCTGTCACATCCTTCGCTCACATGCCCTCGTCGATCTTTTCTCCAGCAGAGTTTGATCGTTGCGAAGTCTCTAGGCCGCATCCCGTGCAGCTGAGCGCAACTGGCGCTCTGGAGACTCGGATCTGGTGTACCTGCGGGTCAGCCATCGTTTAGAGAGCAATCTTCTTTATACTGGAAGAGGTAAGAAACATATTTGATTGACTGATTGGGTACGGTGTTCTAAATGCCATTCAAACAAGTGTTTCGTTCTGCTCCTGTTGTTACTGATCTCTGAAACGTGACTTGTTCCAGCTTTGGATTTTGGAGATTGGTCTAGATTGTAATCACAGTTGTTACTGTTATTAATGAAGTGTGCGTGTTTATATTTTTCTTTTGGATGCTGTCTGAACTGAGAGAGGCCGACCTTTGTTGCATGTTGTAAAATGTTGCCTTCCCCTGCATATTCAGCTTGGATAATAACCATCGTGTGGACCGCAAGCTACATGTTCTCATTCTTTTAGCCTAATCAGCTTATCAGCATAGACAGATCATTAATCCTATACTTTAAATTACCAGTCCGTACATTACGAAAACAATATATGAGCAATGAACATTGAAACAACTTGAAGGACAGAATCAACACATGCTTGTTGTTCATATACTTTCTTCCAAATACAATTAGAATTGTAAGATGCTCTACATATATTGCTGTTGTTGTTTTCTGAATAAGAGAGTTGCTTTCCTAAAAGAATATTCGCAACCAACTCTGAATGGGGTAGGAGATGATGAGATATCTCATGTTCCTACCACCAGAACAGAACAAATGATATTATACATGATTGTTTCATCATGAGGTTGATTTTTCCTTTTTCAGCTTGCCATCAGTATTTAGATTCGTGCTGCTTATGTTTATCAGAGTAAGCTTTTCCATGTTAGAGTAGTTTTTATTTTCTACTTTTATGGCTGACAGGGCCTTTGATTTGGTCCCGGTCTAGGTCTAGCTATTAGCTTGCTTGATCTGATCAAACAAATCAATTTCTTTGTTCCCTTGGAAGCCTGTATGCAAGTTTATGGAAATTGAATTGTGCCTCACTACCTCCCACCATATCGTGCGCTTTCAGCTTGAACCATGAAACCAACACTATATTCATGGTCCCAATGCCCCAATGCTAATTTTATTTTTGTGTGCCTGTTCTTTTGGTTACCCACACATTCCCTGGTGTGGTTCTCATCAATCAAGGTATAGATTTTAATATGAATCTAAAACACTGAATGGGACCTCAAAACTAACCAACTATATGGTATTATAAATTTAATACATTGAACAATCCCCTATTAGTGTAATACTTCTTTATCATAAGACTAATTCCATTTCCAATGCTGCAGAAATCATGGCATCTATGGAAGACATTGGAAGTGCATTAATCCCCCTAGTGGGTATTGGTGATTAATGACAAATGTGGTTAAGAGATTAATGAGTTTATTGAGCTACTTTCAGATGCATTAGTCCAAGGTGTGGAAGGTGGATGCTTGGAGACCCCCCAAAAGTATAAAATCAAAGCGGACCGGAACTCGAGAAGTGTATATGATAGTTTATTTATTGCAATCGAGTTTTTAGGATAAACCGTACTATTAAGAGGGATTCCAGGTGATGCTCTGAGATATGTCAAGTGCTCTTAGCGTGAACCAAGTGTCAAAGTTTCCCTAGGAGTTATTTTTGCAAATACTCCATCTGTCCAAAAATGCAGGTCCGGAACTTCTTGTCTTCCAAGTCCGGAAGTTCCGGTCTGATGAAAGAAATTTTCCTAAGTGTTATCCGGAAGTTCCTGTCTTCTAGGTCCAGAACTTCATGTCTAGTTTCCAGTTCAAAATTGAGTAACGGCTAGATGACGTCACCTAGCCGTTAAACATATACAGCTCGTTTCCAGCTCGTTTTTTGGCCATTCCACTTTCACTTTTCATCCCTAGAGCTGTTGCTAGCCTCTCCTAAGTGTTTCTTGCCATCTCCACTCAATCTAGAGCCTAATTCTTGTGAGAAAGAGAGATTGAGAGGGAGAGAGGAAGATTTGGAGATGTGTGAAGACTAGGATCTTGGGTGAGCACTTGGAATATCTCGTGGGCTGTCATCTCGGTGCTTATTACTCTTGGAGATGATCTCCTAGACGGTTAGATGTCGCCCGCGAGAATCCGTTGCATATTGTGGATGTCCTGGGTAAGTTTGTGAAGGATCTCCTCTCCTCCGAAAGGGAACGAGGTAAGTTAATGAAGTTCTTGTGCTGAGATTCTAAAGGTTTTCCAAGTAGAGCAACCTACACTTGTGGCGGATTTCTAGAAGTAGGTTGAGTTGGATCTTGGTGGTCACTCAATTCTAGAAATTTGCCTAGGAGTGTTTGGGGTTGAAGGTTGTGGATTTCCTCTGGGGTTTTCGCACAAGTGAGGCAAGGGGTTAATCGAGACCCAGCTCTTTGGAGCTCCTCAACGGAGAGTAGGATCACAAGATCCGAACTTCGGGAAAAAATCGCTCTTGTCTCTTTCTGTGATGTTTTTGTGGATGTTTCTGTGATCTATCCCCTGCTTAGAATACCTGTGCATCATCTTGTGAAGATTGGCTTAGTCTCCTGTTTTGAAATTTGATTTTCATCCTTGTTATGTAACCCGGAAGTTCCTGTCCTAACAACACTGGAAGTTCCGGGCCTGGCAGGCCGGAAGTTCCGGAGTTCCTTACCAGGAAGTTCCGGGTCTGTTTGAATTTTACCGCTGCGATTTGTTTTTAAGTTTTCAGGGACAGTCTATTCACCCCCCCCCCCCCTCTCTAGGCTTCATCAGCACGTTCAGACATCGCTGATGAGGATCCCCAGGTAGATCAAATGGCCAATGGAGGAGCTCCATTAGCTCGAGCAATGTGGATCCAGAAGGGAGCTGTCAAAGTTCTATTTGAGTTTACGTCTGATGGATATTATCCTCACTGCCGCTGTTCCGTCGAGAGAGCAATGGAGATATACATGAACAACCTCAAGGAACTCAAGGTGGATGAGCCATGATTTTGCTATATCTCTTGTGATTTGCCCTTTGAATACAGCAAGGTACATAACTTACTCCTTATCATATAATATTACAAACAGCATGTATTCATATCATCTTCCCCATATGATTAATGATTTCCTACTTCACCAGGTCAGTTCGATGCTTATACTTTCTATCCTTTTTATAATAAATCGACCGACATAACGTCAAAGCTATCAGTACAATAGTATCTGCAGTATGACCCTTCCACTTGTATATTTCAATCAATACTATACCCTTTCGTAACGTGTGCCTCGATACATAAATCTACCTATGTACCTAAACTTGCCAACAGTATAGCCTTCTTGCCTTACTTGTATAATTATGTGATGATTGTTCTCCTGTAAAAATATATATGTATCTATGTAGCAAGTTATTGGTGGTACTATGACGAGCCTTATGAATCTAGATCAGACACTCTTCCTTCTGAGATTGCTGCAATGGCATAACAAATATTTACTTTTGCCACCTCTGTGAGGTTGATGAAAAGGAACATTTCTTTAATAGTGTCGAGACGTTTTTAAAGGGAACTTGCTATTCTAGCAAAATGTGTTTCTGGTTCTGGTGCTACATCTTCAGGCACACTGCACACATGGTACACCTGATAATCTTATTGTCAATAAAAAAAGGTGTCACTTTTGTGATTTGATGTTTTATTTTTTTTCTCTGTGCTTTTTAAGTCAATGTACATACTTTCCATTGTGATTTTGTTCTGTTTTTCTTTCTTCACCATGAACAAGCTTTCTGCTTTCACCTTATGGTCAAAAGGATAAAAGTAGAAAAAAAAGGAAAACCATAAGATCCAACAACATTTTCATCTACTTATACCCATTCGTAAATTTATTAAGTTGCTTTTTTAAAGCATGAATTAACAATACTTTTTAAATGTAATTACTCAACTGGTAGCATCTTACTTGAAGGCATCAAGCTGTAATGCCAAAGTTATATATACCATACAGATGATGTTATCGATCCATTTATAGCCCGCGAATATTATTATTCATCTGTTTATGAACAAACCTGTGTTTGAAATGGTGGCGTTGTTCCTCTTTAATTATATTAGTAGTACCGTAAATGGTTGTCAATATTTGAATGGTTCTCCTACAGGTAGAAGAATGATGTAAAAATTATCATGCATATTTGACTACACATGAATTTAGATTGCTACCGTGGCTGGCAAATTTTGCTGTCAAACTTGCCATGTAGACACCAAGGCCCACTACTTCAAGCGAGGACTCCTAACGGACAAGCTATATGATGTTCATATTTAGGAGTAACAACATTCAGCAACCTATATCCCCAGGAGGCGCGCCAATGCTAGCAGGAAACTGTAAGATTTATTTCTATGGAGACGAAACACGTACCTACTCTGCCACTGTTACTATGCTAATTAGTTTTTGCACCTGAAGTGCTTATCATGCATACTGCACTCCCTTGTCAATATAAGATACCATCTATGTATGTACCTGCTGCTAGAGACCACGAACTACCAATCTGCCTATATGTAGTTAACATGGCGATTACATGTTTTCTTATATTTTGTTCGGTATGTGTCTATTTGCCTTTCCTAATTTTCAGCTCCTTCTACCTAACTGTCTACTAGCGGCGCACATTATCAGCGACGGTTAATATTATGCTTCCACCGCTTTCTAATAATGGAATCAACTTTTACACCACACCAGCTATATGCAATTGGCGCGCAAAGGCGCGCCACAGGCTCTAGTAATATTAATAGGTAGAGCCGTAATCTTGAGGGTAGAGAGAGCCGCCGCCCGCTGCTATCTTTGTTATTCTTGCATACTGCTATTGGTGCTTCGACCTTGTGTGAATAACTCACCTTCTCAATTCCATTTTGTCTCTACATGTTAATTAATGTGTTCAGCTAATGTCTTTCCGCATATGTTTTCAAGTAGATGGATGAGTCTGAGTCAGAGCCTATGAGAGAGCATTCTTCCTTCTTTAAATTGTCATTTGGTTCCTCGAAGGTTAGTGATTTTTTTGTACTGTAGGTGCTTGCAGGTTGCAGCCTCACAGGATTCGTTCTGTACTTCTGTGTGTGACAATGCCAGGCGACGGCGGCGACGGGCACATAGCGCTGGAGGCGATGCACGACAGCCGAAGCGTCCGAGACCGGCGGGGAGCCCAGGTGGCAGGTCCGTATCTTTTCTTCTTCGCCTTGTATCTCTATCTCTACTATATCCCTATCCCTACTATTATATATAAAAATTAAATATGTTTTTGTCAAGATTCTAGTATTAGAGTTTGTTTTTTAATTTTATCTTTACCTATATCTTTTCTTTACATATACTTAAAGAATACGGATTGTATCTTTTCACCTTATATTTGTCCGTCATCGTCTGTTCTCTCCCGCTGCCTCGCGCACGTGTGATGCCCCCAAATCGGAATCGATGTCTGCCTTGGATGGATTTTCCTTCCGTCCCCGGTGGCTACTCCCGCCGATCAAGTCAGTCTTGCACCACGATTACACCAAATTCGTCACGCGTTCGTTAATCTTCTCTCGAGCACGCGTCTGAAATTGAGCTGGATTATGCACATCTTCCATCATTGTTTGGTCTGCGTCCAATCCGGCTCTCACGTATCGTATTGTTCTTTTCCGTTTTATAATCGTACCACAAACCACACTTGACGTTTCCCTTTCCGATCATGTTACCCACTGATCTAATCGCTTTCTACAATGCTACTATTCGATTGCCAACTTGCCTACATCCGTTTTTTATGCGTCACCAGATAACGCCAACCTTTGGGCTCCGGCCGATCGAACAATGCCGCGTCGCCGAGCTGCGTGGCGGTGGCGCGAAGCCGCTGATGCAAATTACGAATTTACGATGATACAACTAGCTTTGGCAGTGGATCTGTGGATGTATGTCCTGATTGGAAGAAAATACATTTTTAATTTTGCTTATTATTTTGTTAATGTTCTTCATCAGCCTATATGTTCCAAACAGAAGGCCCAAATATTGGCCTAAAAATTGAAATAGAAGAAAATTAAAATATATGAACATTTGATATAATATGTGAATTTTAAGACAAATTTCAAATTAAAATAACTCAATCACTATAATTTCTGAATAAAATAATTAATCAAAAAATATTGTACAACCTATAACTGAGACAAATAGGCTTACTAGGATTACAAGTCTTCTTCGGCCTAGATGTTTCTAACCAAAGGCCAAAATATTAATTAGCTTAAAAATTGAAATAGCCAACAGTTTAAATATATGAACATTTGAAAACCTATGTGAATTTCAAGACAAACTAGCCATTTGGTCGTGCATTGCACGACTTTAGATACCTGTAGAAAAGCTCTATATTTATGGGTCGTAATATATCATATGATGAACTATGTTTTTATTAGACATATAGAAATATCATGAAATTGTCCTTTCCCTCAATCAGGGTATCCAACTTTTCTTGTATTTTCATGTCTCGCATCTTTAGAAGCTTGCTCCAAGTTCGCATAAAAAGATGGCCCTGAAATTGACTTCAAATGGTGTTTTGAGAATTTTGCTTCAGGCTCCATCTTGTTCCATGCTTGCCACAGCGCTATTGTTAGATCTGCATCTCATAACCGGATAAGAGTACAATATGATCCATGCATCTCAAAATTAATGGGAAACCTTCTGGTTTCTATGAAATCACAACCTGGAACATGGCAGGTGCAGAGGGCTTGGCATTAATCACAACTGCAACATAGGAGCAAACCTTCTGGTTCCTTTCGCCGTTTCCATAGGCGAGCTGGCTGGGCAAAAGACTTAGCCCAGTATACATATAAGCCCTGTATACATAGACCATAATATGATAATGGGATTAACTCTTAATTTATTTTTCTTAAAAAAACATAGGACTTGGTAAATAGTTAGTTAGAACTAACCTATATTTGCAAGTAAGGTTCAAGTACCATGTAGAAGATCTTTTGGTTTCCAAAGTTCAGTCATCTCATCCAGTGGCTAGTACATGCTTATTCCACAATATTTTCTCATAAAATACACAATAATTTAATTTATGACTTTGAAAAGGACTGGACAAACAATTACTTCCTCCGTTTCATATTATAAGACTTTCTAGCATTGCCCACATTCATATATATGTTAATGAATCTAGATATATATGTCTAGATTCATTAACATATATATGAATGTGGGCAATGTTAAAAAGTCTTATAAACTGAAACAAAGGGAGTAGTTAAATTCTGAATCTACGTGAAATCAACCATTAGTTTATCATGAAACTTATAATGGCACCATTAGACCATTGGGCGAACAAAATATTAAATTTAAAGTAGGTGCTTTCTAAAGTTGACTAATAATTATTATTATTATTATCATGCTTGCACAGGACACAACCTAAATGTAGGTAGAATTTCACTTCCAGGTTGTTACATAGTATGATACTGCACTAAGCATTATAAGTTTGAAGTTGATAAGCAATCCACATGGTTGAACACATCTCAGAAAGTTAGAATCAGCGTCTCTGAAGTTCCGAGATTATTTGTACATTTTAGTACCAAGAAAAATATTACCTGGTTTGGATGGTGCCAGCTTCCTTGTTGATAAGATCTGCAAGTTCCAAAACTCTCAAATTTTAACAGAGGAGATACTTTTACGGTTTTACCTTTGGGGAGATAATTGCACCTGTTGCGTCTGTACCATCATTTGAGGGTGTTTCTATCATAGGATTCAAAGTATATATTTGGGGGGAAGTGAAGCCAAAACACTCAGTATGAAATGGTTAGTATCTAACCTGTGAAAAAGATGATCACAATACCATTTATTTGGGGACATATGTTCAGATGTCATCTGCTAAACCAGTGGAATCATAGCTTAAAAACAAAAGGTTGAGTAGATACATTCCAATTTGGTTAAATGGGTATATACAACATTCCAATTTGATTAAATGGGTATATGCACAAAAGTTTGGGTGGTTTCTAGAAATTTTGAAAATTATCTTTGGAGGCACAATTGAAATGCTTTCTTAATAGAATTTGTGTGAAGAAAATAAAAAGGACTTGATTTAATGACACAGTCAACAACAATAAATTTCTTGTTCTATCAAACAATATTATTCCTCAACAACTCGTATCCAGTTTTTACCATTCAAGAAGTACTAATGTTCATGATTCATACCTTAGATGCATGGTAGCAAGTTGAATAAAAAATGAAACCACAAATTTTGACAGGACGTTTATTTCATAATTGTCACTTCAGGCAAAGACCAATAACGCAAATCAATATTACAGTCATTGCTTTAAAACTCATAACATCAAGAAAAAGAAATACCTGATAATACAATATTTGATTGCTTTATTATTTGCTTCATAAATTATCAAAATTCATTCTTAATCAGTGAATACACCCTTCACAGCAAACCGGAAGCTAAATGTGTACTTAGAGTCAAATACATTTGATCTTTAATAGTCAAATTTCATTTAAGCTTAAGCAAACACATTGTAGAATTATCTTTTATAGGTTTCCACTCCCCTGCTTGCTGCAGCTTTGCTCGTTAGACAAACATATATAGATACACAAATATAGCAATACACCAGTCATTTATATAATGTTAGGAGCAACCTTTTTTTTTTCTAAATGCATGAATAGCTAGTACTACTCCTTACTTTTTTTCGGGAAATTATTAGTATTAGTTATATCCCGGTGAACCACTGCCATCGAATTGATTCAGTGAGTTGGACGTTGGGCATCCGGAGGAAAATACTATTTCAATCCACTTATAAATTCATTTGTTATCACACATATCTTTGATAACTATTGAAATAATTGTATGTAACTATTTATAATTAATGAACCTGAAGTTACATTTTGATAGGATGCATTCTTTTTACAGTGCTCTTAAATGAAATTTGCCCACCCAAAAACTGAAATTACATGAGAGGCTTAATTAAGGACTCCATTATAGAACTTATTGATCACCTTTTTAGTCTAAATCAACTTCTTAGCACTAGGTGAAGCCGTGGTTCCTGTACATCGTACATGCTTTACCAAGACGAACACCGTAAGGAGCAAGGAGTTTAGATACTTACCACAGCTGTCGATGTTGGGACTTTTTGTATTTCCCTTGGCCATCGTCATTGGAGAAGTGGCGCTGCAGAGTAGGTCCTGGGGAACCAGAGGCACTCAGATGGAGATGCAGAAGATAAGGCGGCAAGTGAAATTCCGCGTGCATCGCCGTCAGGTCGAGCCATACCTCCCGAATCCGAATCAGCCCCACCATCGCCGGATCCAGAACAGGTAGGAGGAGGTGATGCCGCAGTAGTGTTGGGGATGGGAATGAGGAGGAATAGGATGGGGTGTGGCTAGGGCAGGGGGAGGTGGAAGCGGAGAAAGGGGAGGTATGGATTCCTTTGCTTCCCACTGCAGGCTCTTCTTCTTACCTCTCCGGTCCCCATTGATGTGGTGGAGATTGGGAGGAGACATAGCGGCTTTGGAGATGGGACTAGCACACAATCTAGCACCTCCGCCTCCCGGTCCCGGGAGTGGGGGCGGCGTAGCGACCAGGGAAGGGGAGGCGGCCTCCCGAGACGGTGTCGCAACAGATCCAGGTAGCAGGGGTGAAAATGAAAAATGGTAATACTAGGGAGGTGGAAGGATCTTATTGCGAAAGATTTTGCCAATCAATGAATCCAACAGCTCACATCATCTGTAGGGGCAATCGGACGGCCTATGTTTTTCTGATGACGTGGCGCAATCTGGTGGCGAAAAACTTTAGTTTTTTTCACTACTTTAGATTTCAAATTAAAGTAATTAAATCACTATAATTTGTTCGGTTTGTTCATAGATGATAAAACAATTAACACAAAAAATTTTAATTAAAAATTAGGTATTCGGGAAATATATCTTTCCATTGCAACGCACGGGCATAATGACTAGTTTTTTTTAACATGAAAAGTACATTTCATTCATTAAGAAGATCATCTGTACTAAATCATTAGCCACGAGAAAATATGTTTTCTTCAACTAGGAGGTCATAGGTTCAAGTCCTAGTTCTTCTCACACATATATATACTAGGGTTTGGGGAAAGGGGTGAGGGTTGCAAAAACAACCCCTAAACTTCTAGTTTTCAGAGCGCGGTTCAATTTTCCGTTTTTTCGCTTCTTCATATAGAATATTGTTTTCTTAAGAGGTCCTCTAAGTAAAAGCGCACAACATTAGAACTAAGGACCAGGGATCTATAACAAATTATCAAGTAAATGAAGGGTGTTTTTGCAAAATCACCAACGACGACACGGACGTGCGGGAGCTCACGAAAACCACCCGCCATCCAGCGCCTCGCTGACGCGTCGGCACGCGCAGGTGGCCACGCCAGCTCAAAAATCTCCAGGAGCCGCAAATCTCGGCAGGTTTGTATATAAGCGATTCTTCCGGGATTACTAAATAATGCATTTTGCAGGTTTGATTGTGGTCATCTCCGTACTGCTCGCTGCAGTGACCCTTGTTTGCTGCACCGGCTGGAAGGCCGCCGCCCGGTGGTGGGCCGCAGGGAGGAGGGCTCGCACGGTACACCCCATCGACGCCGCCACCGCCGCTGCCGCCGTCGTGCCGACTGCCTAAAGAAGCATGTTACAGTATATATAGTGTGTTGTTGTCATAGTGTGCCTCGTCCTATGTGTTATATAGTGTTGTATTGCGATAAAAAAATGTACTGCATGTTACTGCAATAAGTATGATTGTGTATGTATTTTTCTTGAACAAATTATGTATGTGTTGGTGCCCGTAAAATTGCATGTTACTGCAGAAGTAAACGGATGTATAGGCAATCCCAATCGCCGTGCCTTTTTTTTAGATCAAAGGCTTGACGCCTGTTAACAATGAAATTTGGTAATCGGCAAAGACGTCATCGGCTTAGAATCATTATTGGCTGCAGCATCTCGGAATCAGCCGATGGGAGTTATCAAGTCGCCAATAGTCGGATTCCTGCTATATTTGGTTAAGGAAATCAATGTACTAAAGGAAGCTTATCCCTAAGTGACCGAGTTTAAAGAGGATGCGGCATGGCAGTTTATCTATTAATTAGGAATAGTTTGTTAGTTTCCTTTTATCTTTAGGAAAATGTGTTTAGTGTCCGATAAGCACTTTATATTTTCCTTTTATCTTTAGGTTAGTTTCTTTCTTGTCCGACAAGGACTTGTATCAACCCCTGGGTATAAATATGTACACCCGGGGTCTATGTAATGAATCTTCACGATCAATACAATTCAGCGCATCGCCCACCCTTTTTACTTCTACTTTTTTTTTACGTGCCGGCGGAACTTGGCACCCGACGTGGGGCTGCATCGTCTTCGATCTCCGGCGAAGGGATAAGTCCAATGTTCCGTCGGCCCAGGCAATTGTCTCATCTACATCGGCGTCGTTCAAGGCTGCATCAGTACATTCGACCTCTTGGATTGCTCTGGTTTGGATGATATATTTGCTACCTATTTATCATATGTATCTATTAATCTAGTCTTAGCATATCAATTTAGCTCTATCGGTTGCTTCTCGTTTTAGGGTTTCTGCCGGTATTGGCTAAATCACGTTGCTAGATTAGATTAGCTTAGATATCTACCACACCTGAAAACTCAGTCAAAGGCTTAATTGTCTAGATATTATGTCTCTTTTCATATTTAGTGCTGCATCAGTTAAGTTTGATCTACTAAGTCGTGCTTAGAACCATAATCTCTAGCCTACTTCTTGATTGCCAATAAGGGTTTCATCGGGGTTTCAGCCGGTGAGTTATCTGGACGTTGCATCGGCTCATAAGGATTGCATATACATATAAGTTGTATTTAGCCGATGACAACAAAGGTTTCACTGTTTAATCTGATCTTGTGGATTTCATGACATCAGACCTCCAGCCGATGTGTGCTTTAACCTTCGGATCGATGCTTATTTATCATATTATTGCTAGCCAATTAGTTTATACAGGACTATATTGTTATTTTATTATATCATCATCAGCCGATTGCCTTTATATCATTATCTACATTAGACATATAGCCGATTGCTTAAACCATATCGCTATCGGCTGGTATCGGCATCGGCTATTATCGGCTATCGGCTGACATTGCTCCATCGGCTGTCTAGCCGATCGGCTGTTTTGTCTGCTGTTTACATATCTTGTCAGTTGCAGGATCAAACTGACTGGCACACTCGCATCTCACCAATATTTGGACTTGCACAGGAGCTAAGCAGATCTCTCAGGCCGGTGTGTTCGATTTTTTCGTCAACAACGCCCTGCTTTTATAGAAAGGAATAGATTGTTTTGCTGGGGAGACCAGCTTTACAAGTTCGCTCTGGGAACATGGGAACATGATAACAGGCACGCAGGCCAAAGAGAAAGCAAAAAACTCGAAGAAGAGAACCCAAACATCCAGCGATCTCAAAGTTCGGGAGCTAAAGCAGAACTCCAGAGGACTAACAACTGAAAACTTAAAGGAGCTCAGCCTATTCCTGCCTGCGGGTGGAACCTTCTTGTTTCCTCAAGCAGTGACGAGGTCACAAAACTCCAAGCCTAGGGCGCCCTTTGCTCTCACTAGTATCTTCTAGTGCTGCAAAAGGGAAATCACACGATAGATTATCGTGAGCGGCGACCCAATCAATTTATCACGAAAAATCATGTCATTCCTAGTTAGCCAGAGTTGCCAGCTCACAGCTGCCAAAAACATCCAACTCAGAGTATTATGAGAATTGTCATTAGGTTTCAACATTGATGCAAAAAAGTGATCAAAGGATGAAGGAACAAAGTTCCAGCTAAACCCATCTCTAGCAAAACACCATATAAAAGATGCCATGGGACAAGTAAAAATGACATGTTGAGCATTTTCAGTGACACCACAAAGCTCACAAGCCTCTAAACCTTCCCAGTTTTTTTGTCACAATTGTTCAGTGGTTTGGATCCGATCTTTCATTGCTAGCTAGAGAAAGTGTTTTTGCTTAAGAGGAATCGGTAGTCTCCACAGCATATTCATTTTGGGGTCAAGTATACCTCTAAAATTTAACAACTGATATAACGATTTCGAGGTATAGACTCCATTCTTTCCATGAACCCATTTGAGCACATCAGCCTCGTCGGTGCAAGCAATCTCTTGTGTTAGTTCAGATAACTCCACTCAGTCAGCTCTACATTACCAAAAAGTCTTCTGAAAGTAAGGCATTCTAACCCCTCTTGAGCCACCTCTTTCACAATTATTCTTTGTTGGTTGCAAATTTCATAGAGCCCCAGGAACCTAATTCTCGGGGGGCAATTACCTATCCAAACGTCATCCCAGAACAAGATATGGTCCCCTTTTCCTAGAGCCCATTCTCCCCCAAGAACAAACCACTTTATGATATTTAGTAATCCTCTCCAGAATTGGGAGATCCCTACCTCTGAACCATAGAAAAAGCCTCTATCTCTCATATACTTGTTTCTTAAAAGATCAAGACACAAACTCTTTTCTTTTGATTCAAGTTTAAAGATCCATTTGGCCAGGAGGGCTATATTGAAAGCTCTAGTTTCAGTGAAACCCAGGCCACCAAACTCTTTAGGGAAAGCTAAATTCCTCCATCTTATCATGTGATACTTTCTTTTAGAACTTAGGCCTGCCCAATAGAATTTGCCTCTAATTGAGTCCATTTTCTGGTGAATCCCTTCAGGCAGTAAATATAAGCCCATTGCATAAGTAGGGATAGAAGAGAGACAAGAGTTGATAAGAACAGCTCTACCACTATAGTACAAGGAACATGTTTTCCAAAAACCGAGTTTCTTGACCAACTTCTGTGGTAAGAAGTCTAGGTCTGCATTCAGCAACTTGTTTGGGCTAATAGGAAGTCCAAGGTACATCATAGGAAACTCTCCTAGGGGACAGTTAAGCATATTTGCAACACTCTCTCTGATAATTTATTTTCATCCCAGAAAGCTCTTCAAAACAATAAAGGAGGAACTTTGTTATCACAATCTCTCTGTCAATGAAAGGAATAAAGATCACAGTGTCGTATGCATATTGCAGGTGTGTTAGGCCTTCAGGGATGAGATGGGGAATGAGCCCAAACAGAAGGTTAGCAGCTTTTGCATCCTTAAAGATCTTCGCAAGGGCATCACTTACTAAATTAAACAGCAGGGGAGAGAGGGGTCACCCTGTCTAAGCCCTCTGTAAGTCCGGAAGAATTCACTTCTTTCACCATTGATATTAACACACACTCGTCGTCGCTCTCTTCATCATCTTCAGCGCCATCGGCTTCATCTGCTAGCAAAAGTTAGGGATTTGTTCCATCTCGTCTTTTTTAAGTTTTTTTATGTTTACTTTTGGACTTTTTGTCTATGTGCCCACAAGCAGAAGCTGGAGATATAATACATTTTTATCATTTTAAAAAAATCAGCTTCATCTGCTGCTCAGCAGCTGCTGTGCTGGAGGACCACCACACGGTGGTTAGCAGCAGTGAGGAAAGCCCGGAGGGTGCACCCTGTCGACGACACCGCCGCCGACGCCGCGCCGTTGCCGCCTGCCTGATAGAACTGCCGCCCTGCCTGCTAACGTGATTTCTTCATCGACGCGTGTGTATATTTTACAGTGTGCTGAACAGAAAAGGGGAAAAAAAGGAGTTATATATATTCCCTCCGTTTTAGGTTACAAGACGGTTTGACTTCAGTCAAACTACTTTAAGTTTAACCAAGTTTATAAAAAAATAATAATATTTTTTATCAAAGATAAATTTATTATGAAAATATATTCAATTATTGATTTGATGAAACTAATTTAGTATTATAAATATTACAATATTTGTCCATAAACTTAGTTAAATTTAAAATAGTTTGACTTTGACGAAAATCAAAACGTCTTATAAACCTGAAACGGAGGGAGTATATGCTTAGTGCTGGGGTGTGTGTTTAAGTTCTGTAATAAGTGTGTACGGCCGTGTTTAGTTTGTGTGCCAAAATTTTTATAAGTATACGGACGCACATTTGAAGTATTAAACGTAGACTAATGACAAAACAAATTACAGATTCCACCTGTAAACTGCGAGACAAATTTATTAAGCCTAATTAATCCATCATTAGCAAATGTTTTCTATAGCATCACATTGTCAAATCATGGCGTAATTATGCTCAAAAGATTCGTCACGCAATTTACATGCAAATTGTGCAATTGGTTTTTTTCGTCCACATTTAATACTCCCTCCGTTTCAGGTTATAAGACTTTCTAGGATTGCTCACATTCATATATATGTTAATGAGTATGTCTATACTCATTAAACGGAGGAAGTATTTATACATGTGTCCAAACATTTGATGTGATGGAATTTTCAGAAGTTTGGAGGAACTAAACACTACCCACGTCAAAAAAAAAAAAGAAAAAGAAAAGCAAGCATACTCTCGCGACGCTGCAGCCGCGCGCCGTCACTGTTGGGGTCAGCGGCAGTGCATGAGAACTTGAGAAGGTAACCAGCCAGCCAGCCAACCGGAACAAGCGCAAGCACCGTGCCGAGCCGCCGTCCGCCGAACTGGGGTCATTCAGACTGGAGTGCCCACTAACGACGGATTGCGTGGGCTTCGACTTCATGTCGCCGGAGAAGGCCGCAATAGCAGCGATAGCCGCCGAGGGCGTTAACCTGGACCTCATCCTCCTCCTCCTCAGTCCAGCCCTCGTCGTCCATCCGCTGGCTCTTCTCCGGCTCCGGCAATGTCATCCATCCCCTCCGCCGTTTGACCTCCGACGAGGAAGGGACCGGAGGGAGAGGAGGAGATAAGAGGAGGGGAGTGAAATGACACGTGGGCCGTGCTACTTTTAATTTACCTTTTTATAAGGAATAAGTTCACATTAGGTCCCTCTATTTGTCGCCCAGTCCGACTTTCGTTCCTCGGTCGCAAAACCGGGTATGATGGGTCTCCCAACTTACAAAACCGTGCAAAAAAAGGTCCCTCGGCAGTATTGTGCCCGGTTTTGGATGACGTGGCGCCTACGTGGCTCCCTTTGACTAGGTCCTCGTCCAACGTGGCATTGACGTGGCAAATGAATCCCGGAAAAATAATAAAAAAAACATGAGACCCACATGTCAGCTACACAAAAATTATAAGAAAAGGTGGGGCCCATGTGGTCCCACATATCAGCCCCCTCTTATCTCTATCCCCCTCTCCCTCCCTTACAGAATGGCGAGCGGCGGCGCAGAGGGGGGCGGTGGGCGGAGCGGCCGGGTGAGGAGGGGCAGCTTGCGGCGGCACAGAGGGGGGGCGGTGGGCTGAGCGGCGCATGGCATGCGGCGGCCGGGCGAGGAGGGAGGCGGCGCTCGGCAGCTGGGCGAGGAGGGAGACGGTGCGCGGCGGCCAGGCGAGAGGAGGGGCCGCTTGCGGCGGTCGGGCGAGGAGGGAGGCGGCGCTCGGCGGCCCTCTCTTCCGCCCTCTCCACTGGCGCGGCGCGTGCCGCCGCTTCTCTCCCTCCCACCAGTCGGCCGGCTTGCGCCGCCGACCCTCTCCCGCCGGCAACCGCGCACCGTAGTTCCTCTCTCGCCCTCCCGCCGGTCGCCGACCCAAACGCATCGCCGCTCCTCTCCCTCCCTCCCGCCGGCCGGCGCGCACCGCCACTCCTCTCGCGTTGGAGGTGCATGAAGCGTCCTTGGCGAGGTCGCTGCTCCGCCGTGAGGATGAAGGAGAGCCGAGAAGAAGAGGAAGATCTGAGAGTGGAGAGGGAGAGGGGAGGGGAGCCGGCGAGCTCGAGCTCGCCATCCTACCCGCCCGTCCTCGCCGACCACTAACAGCGGACGCTTGCTCCGCCCCTCTTCCGCTGCCTCGACGTCGATCCCTCTCGAGTTCATGTCGAGAACGAACGAGCGAGCGAGGCGGCGACCTTGGCCGGTGAGCACGCCTGCCACCACTCCGCCCGTCCTCGCCGACCACTAACAGCGGACGCTTGCTCCGCCCCTCTTCCGCTGCCTCAACGTCGATCCCCCTCGACTTCATGTCGAGAACGAACGAGCGAGTGAGGCGGCGACCTCGGCCGGTGAGCACGCCTGCCACCACTCCGCCCGCCGTCTGCCGTCCCTCTGCTCCGCCCGCCACCCGCCACCGCTCCGCCCACCGCTCGCCGCCGCTCCCGCCGCCCCTCTGCTCCGCCTGCTGTGCAGCGCTCCTCTGCTCCACGCGCCACCCGCCACCGCTCCGCCCACCGCCCGCCGTCGCTCCGTCAACAGCCCACCACCCGTCACCCCCTCTGTGCTGCCGCCGCTCGCCTTCTTGTAGTATAGAGGGGAGAGAGAGGAGGAAGGCTGACAGGTGGGACCAAATAGGCCACACCTTTTTTAATTATTTTTTTTAGCTGACATATGGGTCCCATGATTTTTACTATTTTTTCGGATAAAATTGTCACGAAAGCGCCACGTCAATGCCACGTAATCGCCACGTCAGTGCCACGTGGGTCGAAGACCTAGTCAAAGGAGCCACGTAGGCGCCACGTCGGCCAAAACCGCCCTCCATACTGCCGAGGGACATTGTTTGCCCGGTTTTCGTAAGTTGGGGGACGAGTCATACCCGGTTTTGCGGTCAAGGGACGAAAATCAAACTGACCGACAAATAGAGGGACCTAAAGTGAACTTATTCCTTTTTATAACTAGCATGTGGGCCCATAGTTTTTATTATTTTCCACTTCAAATTACAACGTAAGCATCAAGTCAACACCACGTGGGACAAAAACTAGTCAAATGAGCTACGTAGGTGCCACATCAGCTAAAACTGGAGACAATACTGCCGAGGGACCTTGTTTGCACCGGTTTTATAAACTGGGGGACATGTTATCTGGTTTTTCAGTTAAGGGCGAATATTACTGGGCGACAAATTAAGGGACCCAACATGAACTTATTCTCTTTTGTTGCAAGTTTGTGAATTCTTGGGTCATACTGGGCCGTCCTGTCTGCATGGGCTGCAAGTAGATAGCCCAGGTCGACTTCTTTTCTGCTTTTGACTGTTCCGAATATAAAAATAAATTATAGTAAAAAAAAAGAAAGAAAAAACTCCAAGCAGGAATCAATTCCACGAGATCAAGAAGAAGAGGAAGAAGTCGCTTCGCGGGCGATGGCGAGCAGCTCGTCGCCGCCGCCGCCGCCGCAGATTCGTTGCGCCTCCTTCAATCAGGACAACAGGTACGACCGAGCGAACGACAAGTAACTGGATTCGGGGGGAGTCGGCGATTCTGAATTTTGGGGGTGGGAAGGGATTTCTTGGGTCGGATCCGGCGACGAAGAACCCTAATTGTGATTGCGTGCCGGTTGATTTGTTTCAGCTTGTTTTATGTCGGGACGAAGGATGGATTCAGGATTTTCGATGCCCATACAGGGAAGCTCCACTACCAGAAGAGTGAGACTTCCTTCAATGCATCTTCCTTTTCTTTACCCATCCCTCTGTTCTTGTTGCTCTCCATTGCCTAGCGCGAATATCCAACAGTACAGCATGTAAAATTTGGCACAGATTGCTCGTAGATTGTGAAGTAGAAACAGTTAATTCCCAGTAGGATGTTAAGCTGAATAAGGTTACATTGTGCTGCCTGCGTTAGTCAGCTAGGTTAATAGTCATTAGTGTGCATTGATGTATGGTAGAACCAAATGAATTTTATTGCCGTTAGCATGGAAACTGGCTATTCTATCATGGAGGAGAGAGTTGTTCTGTAGTGCTTTTATAAGAAGCTATGGTGTTATAGCTATCTGCTCAATTTGCAGATATTGGTGGAATCGGCAATATGGAAATGTACTTTCGGACAAACATTCTTGCTATAGTCGGAACTGGTGAACAGGTACCTCGGCCATATTTTCCCTGTTTGCTTGAGTCGTTCCTGCTGTGTGATTGTCTGTCATACTATTGAATTTAATATAGACGAATTTGCTAGTTAACTACCGTTCAAATTTATCTCTGCAGCCTGTACTATCTCCTCGCTGCCTTCGCCTTATCGACACCGTAGCAGCTGTCACAAAGAAAGATCTGAACTTTAAGACTTCAGTTTTGGCTGTTCGATTAAGTAGAACGAGGTATGTCACCAGTATTTTATATCCTAGAAGGGACTACATTAGAAACATGTTAGTTTTTTTATGATATAAAGATATTTCTTGGTTAACATATTTGTGCAAAAATCATGCAATATATAATGATGAATCCCATATTATACTTGCTCGTTTTTTTTTCTGTAAAATAGTTGTCACATCATGTGCAGGCTTGTTGTTGTATTGCAGGACAGGACCTTTATTTATGATGTAAACAGCACTACTATATTGGAAGAAATTGAAACAGTTCCCAATACAAAAGGTGAGGATCCTACTGCTGTTTGTTCCTGGCATCAAGTTGAAGGAGCTAGAGAAAAAGATCATTAAGCATTCTTGAGAAGCTCTCTCACCATATTTGCTGTTAATATTGTTATTCTTTGTATATCAGGTCTTTGTGCATTCGCTCCTAATTCAGAAGCATGTTATTTGGCCATCCCAGCAAGCACATCCAAAGGATCTGCTTTAGTTTATAAGGCATCAGAACCTGAATTAATATGCCAGGTAATTTGAATTTGTTGTTTATTGGTTAATCTTATTGGCTGTTGTAGGCTATTATCCTTCCATGAGATTTTCTCACACATCCCCACGCATTAATGTTCTTCTGGTCCTGGATCTTTCTTGAAATTATTGATTTACATGCCATTGCATTTCATTGATAATTTAGGATCTCTTACTGCCTTTTCAAATCAGAGGGAAGAAAAAAGAACAGTTATGCAAAATTAGCCGTGTAAGATATTTATGTTGGTATAATAAGCTGAAAATAACAAAATAAACCATTTTCCGAACTGCTTTCTTTCACTTTGTATTATTAATTATTAGCTTTGATAGCTTGTTTTGTTCTTTCTTTACTTATGTTATGTCTTTTCACTGTTTTTGTGTAATTGACCAACAGATAGATGCTCACGAGTCTCCCTTAGCTGCAATGGCATTTTCTTCTAATGGCACGTACCTGGCAACAGCTTCTGGGAAGGGTACTATTATTAGAGTATTTCTCGTTGCACAAGCAACCAAGGTGAATTCAACGTTATTTATTGTCTGCTCTTGCAACCAACTAGATTTTCCTAAACTCTTTTTACATACATACTTCAACAGTCACACAGTTTTCGGCGGGGAACATACCCATCAACAATATATTCACTCTCATTCGGACCATCGGATGATCTGCCCGATGTTCTTGTTGCCACAAGTTCATCAGGCTCGTTGCACATGTTTTTCCTCGATGCTGCCAGAAATCGAAGGTACATAGCCAGCTCAAATATTGATAATTCGTGGACGGTGTATGTAGGCATGATCTGATTTACTCCACTTTTCAGGAACCAAACGAGCAAATTGCTTGGTTCAATGATTCCTGGAGCAATAACTCGTGCTTTGGATCCAGCAAACCATCACATTATTCACAACGTCATCCCTGCAGGAATCAAGAGGTGTTGAGTTCATCTGATTTCCACTACTTTCTACCTTCCATTATTGTCATTCTAATCTAATCCTTTGGAATTTCAGCTGTGTAGCCGTACATAAGGTCGAAAATTCACAAAATTCTTCTAAACTTCCTGCTTTAAGGTAAGAAATGAAAACGCCTTTTTTCTGCCCCTCATCTTTATTTAGCATATAGCTACTGTGGGTTAGTAAAATCTTACCCATTATTGTCTTTGCAAAAACTTGCAGGACTGTTGTCTATATCATAACTCATGATGGATACTTCCGCGAGTACTCGATCAACACCACAAAGTCAAATGAATCTTCCTGGGTTTTGCAACGCGAGCTCAATCTACTGGATACCGGTTGTAGCACTCCCCAGCGGGAGGAACAACACAAGGACTGACTAGCAGACTAGTTGGCTCACCAATGACAGAAGCTTCAGCTGTGTGTACATACAATTTGTAAGATAGTGTGCTGGTAGGGCTGGTCTGTGGTTTGGGCTGAGATTCTAACTCCAATTGGACAAGTGTATCATAGATGTGCCCACCAATGGTGAGGGATGATTCATCCTTCTTGTGGATGTAAATTATAGATAGTAACTGCCAATATGGCAATATAATTACACTACAAGTATATGTAACTGCTTTGCTACACGACTGACAGACTTTGCCCTGAGTGGTTACAATGAAATGAACCAGCATACTGCCATACTGACAGAAGTCCGCGCAGATTACTCCACACTGGGTATTGTTCTACTGCTCTAAGCATCATGAAACCAAAAGAAAAATACATAAGTGCAAGGATTTTGCTAATGATAGCGAACATTCCAATTTGTTTTCCCTTGCATAACGGCACCTCGATAAAAACCGGCGCTCTGATGATCATAAACAGCAAGATATAACTTGCATAAAACAATACATCCTTTTTAGACTAGGATAATGACTGACTGCAGTCCCTACAATATTATCTCTCCATTGTTTTTCTTGTCTGATATGCCAAAAGTCTCCATTTCAACTCCTCCAAAAACCTTATTGTTAACACATACCTTCTCAATCCTTCCCGTGCTGTTCCATATCTAACAGCATCTCCACAAGATCAGATCTGACCAAAAAGAAGTATGTTTGCATTAAGTATGCAGAAATTTGCATCAGAACAAATTAGGGATTTCTGAGCATCGTGTCCAATTTCTACTGCACCAATATACACTTTTTAGAATGTCGCCAAACCATATGAAAAATGTTAATGAGGGCAAACATGGTCACCTGGGCTGCCTTTGCTTTGAGCCTCTGTATCTCGTCCTGCGAACACACTAACCTGCAGTGCTCCAAAATTTCAGGACTGAAGCTATTTAATTTCTTTATCAATTCGGTCTAAAAGGATGGGGTAAAAGATCATTACCGCCATTGCAGCTCAGTGATCTCATTGACCAGCTCCTTCTCCTTTTCGTGTGCCGCTTCCAACTGAAAAGGTAGTAATGTCTTTGCTCTTATAACCAATTACTATAACAACTGACAATTATAAATAGCAGTCCTGCAATGTCTTAAATTATTTTCCCCACTCTGATATGATGGCACTACATATTAGGAATTATTATATAGAAATTACTAGTATTTGGTTCTCTATAATCTCGCAGAGTTAACTTTGAGATTCATCCTAGTGTGGTTAACTCACCAATGATCTGTCAATTGATAATGCTGATGATGGAGATGATGCGCGACTTGCAGGAGCAATGCAGGCAGGTGACGTCATTGCCATATCGCAACCACTTAACTGTTTCATCGCATGAAGTATTTGCTCCTGCAAGTGAGGCCAAGACTACCATCAACAGAGCTGAACGTATTCTAGCTTTTTTTTTGTGACTTGTGAGTTTGTGTGGGTTGAGAGATTTACCCTCTGAAGCATATTTGTCTGTAGAACATTGTACAGCTGCATATAAAGGGACCCACCAATAATGGTTGATGCAGCCTCAATTGAGGATGGTATACTTAACGAAGGAAGGTGCGAAATTGCCTACGTGAAAACAAAGTGGCACGTATGTTAGTGGGGGAAAAACCCACAATAAAAAATGACCTGTATATTGCTCCCAACAGATGGCATCAATTCTTGAATCGAACGATATTGAAAATCCTAGAGATAAAGCTAATAACCTGCATGCTGTGACTCTTCTGTAGTCCAGGTGAGTGAGCCTGAAACGAAAAATCATGTCATCCCAGAGTTAACAGAACATGCAGTAAGTATTTATGGCTGGAAATTACCTTATCCAACTCAACATGCCCAGGCGTAACTTTAAAACGGCCTCTTTGCTGTATAAGAGGAGGTTTCGATCTATCGTCGTGGTCCTCAACATTTGCTGCTGTATTAAAACGAAGCACGTTAAACCGATAGGCAAATACAAGGTTTTATGTAGCCGTAAGGAACTTGTTCTGATGAGTTACCACTGAGTTAGCTGATGCTCAAACGTGACTGAATTGTCACTACGGTGAAGAAAAAATAAACAGATTTCAGGGTTAAATGCATTTCACTACCTGATGATTTAGGCACCTTTGGAACAGCTTCAGGGGATGGTTCATCTGCAACTTGCAAGGGTCCTCCGTTGCACTTGTCACGGTTATGAATGTTAATTTGATGCTTCGAGCTGAACGAATAAGAGGCATGCTGTTACAGACTGTTTAAAAATAGCACAATAGCGTCATGTTACCAGCACCATATAACAATAGCTTCTCAAGTAAAAAGGGATTCGTCATATTCATGGATAAACTAAAACAGGTCCTAAAACAAGATTTGAATCATTCTCAAACAAGTCAGTTCAATGTTTCTAATTTTTAGGTTGTGCTGCTACTTGGGAAAATGTGATTCTTCAAATTAGCATGCACTCGTCAGTCTTTAAAGTTGAACAAACCTCTCTTTGGATGAAAGAAATCCATCAGATGAGCAAGAACTGAAAGAAAACTTCCTTTCATGAAATGAGCTGAATGAACTGGTTGGAATAGCATCTGAATCTTTCTCTTGCAAGTCCAGTTCACTACTTTCTGTGGAGCTGTGTTTCCTGACCTGGCCATTTGCATGTACCCCGTTTGTAGTCCTGAGCATTGATGTATTCCTGGCAATTTAAATTAGTAAATGACAGTTTTCAGAAGAGAATAGTACAAGTACACTGCAGAAATAGCCTATATAATCTGGCACTGCCACTACTCTAGTGCTCGAACAGAAATAAGACCCTCTTATTTGCAAGCAACTATAAAAATCTGAATAAATTAAATACCTTGCTAAACAAATGGGGTGCTCAGGAGATGAAACTGCTGACTTATCATTGCTCATCACATCATTTTCCTACCAACTTTGCTCGGTATTAGATGGAAGCAAAACTTTATACTAGGTTAGAACACAAAACTTTATACAAAAAATTATACTTACGGTGTCCGTATCATACTTAATTGAAAAAACTCTTGACATATGAGGTCCTGTTGCTCGCTCTGGTAAAATGGTGTCCAAGTCATAGAAACATGATGCATCTGAATCTTTGCACGATATACTGTCATCACACTCTGTAATCTGCGAACAGACAGATAGAGAAATTACATGATGTGAATCAATGACTAAAGAAGAGAACAGAACTAGTTCTTACAAGTGAAGCTTGAGACTTCAGGTCATCCATATCAAAGTTCCAGCTACTGATGCCTCTTTTGTATTCATCCTATCAATATAAGAAACAAGAGGAGCAATTATTTGCTTGTAATACAATGTCGACAATGAAATAAACATATAAATACCAAGACAGGAAAAAAGAAATGACCTAGAATCCTAAATTCAGGTAATAAATGCCTAATAATATGTTATAGTTATTACACTAAGAATGTGTAAGTTTTTAATGCTGCAAAACAGATATTGCAATTTCCGTACAAATCGAAGGAAATTTTCTAATATGGACTACTCACCCGAGGTTATGATCACCATTATTATGTTTTGCACAATATGTTTTGGGAATCCTTTGATTTACTTTTTTTTTTGGCAAAAATATAATAGTACACAACAATAACTTCATTGATCCTCGAATAAAGAAACTAATGAGAAACAAGTGTATCATTTGACCTGCACACCTGCTTAGAAATGCTTGATTATTTAATGACACCATCACATATATACAATTATACAAAGGCGTACTGAACAGGCTCAGTGCAAGAGAAAATATTTTATCAATTTACTATAATAATAGAACCATAGTTAGGAAAGGTATAAATCAGATTTTTTTTTCTAGATGATCTAACAGAAATGTAGAATTGGCACCTGTGAGATTTCTTCCTTCTGTCCATCAGGCATTTTCTTTTGAGAAAGTAAAACTTCATCCTTTTCCTATAATTAATAGTAAGCTCCACTGTTAACTTAGTGAAGACGATCATTTGCCCCCAAAAAACTAGTTATAGAGCCCTAAACCAGTGTACCTTCAGAGCTAAATATCTGGCACCAAGGCCAGGCAATCCCTCCAAAAGCTTTCGACTAATGAAATCACTGGAGCGAGCTTGCTTGAAAAAGGGTTGCTTCAGCAATTTTTTCGCTGTAGGCCTTTTTGAAGGGTCTTTTACCAGACACATAGCAACCATTTGCTTGAAATGCTGATATAGGAGATAATCGTTGTTGACAAATAAGAAGTCATGCTCATCATAAAAACTACAATGGTAGGTCTGTTCAAATATTAAACATATTTACCCTTGAAAATTTCTTATCTCTCTCATAGTCAAGGCCCGGAGGGGCATTCTGAAGTGTCATAAGTAAGACCTGACAAAGTGTATGAACTATATAACTTCAGAAAAGTCCACCAAACCCATCATAAGGGATTGTCTCGAATTTATCTCAATGTCATGCGTTTGATTATACCTTCATGGGAGGGAACTTCGAGAAAGGAGCATGACCATGGGCAAGTTCAAGTGCAGTAATTCCGAAGGACCATATGTCTGCCCTGTAATATATTTGTAAGATCAAGCTTGTAAACATGCCATGGTGAAGAAAGTATCCAGACAGTTAAAATAAGTAGTAGCCTACTTGAAATCGTATCCATGTAGCTGCTCCATAACCTCTGGTGCCATCCTAATAAATTACAGTAGTCCACAGATTAGATGTGTGAAGACACGTTAATGGTGCATAAATGAAAGCATATTTGCTACTTTTTTTCAGATGAGTACCAGCAAGGAGTTCCCACGAAAGTATTCCTAGCCCGTTGCCTGTCACCAGAATCAAAAAGGCAAGCAGAAACCCCAAAATCTCCAAGCTTGACTACACCCCGTGAATCAACAAGTATATTCCCTGCCTATGATCGAAACAAAGAATGCAGCAATATAACATCTCCATAAACAACTAATTCGAGAATATCTGTGTGAGATATCCATGCATGGCTCAACAGCCATACATAAGAAACCAGCTGTGGTGCAAAATGTTCATTTACCTTCACATCACGATGTATATGCCCATGATGATGAAGGTACTCCAAACCTTTCAGGACTTCACGAAGTACAGTTGCAATGACAGCTTCTTCAAAACCATCTGGATAGACTGACTTCATTATGTGAAGGCAAGACCCTCCAGCCATGTATGGCATGACCACCCACAACGAGTGGTTATTTGTAAATGAACAATGTGCCTTCATGACGTTAGGCTGATCTATGAGAATCATCGTCTGAGCTTCACGCATGATGTTGTTCTGCGTCAAGCATATCCGTGTTACTATCATTTTAGACAGATCAAGCGGCGGTACGTAAATCGCAACAATCCGAGTATAACCTACTTGCATTACAACTAACCACTGCAACAATCTGACATGAATGCAGTCAGCAAAAAAAATTTGAGCTATAATTAACTGTAAGACAACAGAAATAATATATGAAAATTTTCGATACGATAGTATGCGACTCATTGGACCAACCGACCGTTGGACAATATCATCCACAAGTACATTTGTAAAAATTAAAATGCACCGGAGGATAATAGTTTAATTAATCTGCAAATCAAACAGGTTAATTAAGCGAGACGATGGATCTCTCTCCCTCTACGCAGGATTGGGCCCAACAAACGAATTGGAGATGATGTACGCGCAAACGTACCAGGTCACTGTTTGTGCGCTCGAAGTCGAGCACCTTGACGGCGACGATCTCGTCGAGGGGCTTGCAGAGCGATCGGTACACGATGGCGCTGACCCCCTGCCCGATCTCCTCGTACAGCTCGTAGTCCTCCACGCGGATCGGGTACTTGCGCCTCTCCCCCGACCCACCCAACCCCGCCGCCGTCGCCACCTTCTCCCACGCCTTGGCCATGCTCGATCGATCGCCCCTTCCCTACCACCACCACCCCCACCCGCATCCACCGCCGATCGACGAAGCGTACGGGGACGGGGCGCTGGAATTGGAGGAGGGATTTCGAGGTGGAAGTGGAGGCGAGGAGGGGGAGGAGGAGGAAGAGCGGGAAGAGGGGGACGTGTGAGGTCGCGCGTTGCGGAGGGGAGCGAGAGAGAGAGAGAGAGAGAGATTGGGGGAGGTTGGATCATGGCGGCCGAAGCGGGAGGCCGGAGATTTGTGTCGAGGGAGCGCGCCACCTGGGCCAAGGCCCAAGGGAGGCGGCACGGGGGCTACGTGGCGTCGCGGCGCGGCGTCGGATCAACGGCCGTGAGGTTTGGACGGAGATGCCTGTATCACTGTGTGTGGCAGTATTGGGCATTCTTGCGTATTAGAACAGATTGAATTTGAAATTTTGAATTCTAAAATTAGCTGATGCATGGAACGGAGGTGCTTGCATGTAATTTCGAATCGGCCTCGTTTGGTATGTGTATTCAGCACACAAATACTAACGGTACTACATCGGTTACTTATGGTCCATCGGTCTTAGCGAAAATTTGAATTTTAAAACTTAATTTTAGAGTTGATTTTAAGAAGTTTCGTAGTTTACTTTTTCAGGATTGTCTTTTTAAATTGCTAACAACATATAAAAGTTTCTCATCAATTATCCTTAGCTGCTTCACTCAATTTATTTATTTTTTATATCTTATCAGCCGTAAAGAAAATGATGGAGTTGTGATTTTGTAAAATGAGAGAGTTGCTTGTACAATTTGTATTTTGTTTCAGCGATTATTAATCATATCATGCAGGAAAGCAATCATATGAAGATGACATAGATGGCGGGATTAGAGAAGGCTCACACTGCCCCAATAATTATCCTCATAGTTATAGGAATACCTTGCAAAATGTTAACTTTTAATAAAATTATGAAATCTATTAGAGCAAGCATCCGTTGTAGTCTAGCTGGTTAGGATACTCGGCTCTCACCCGAGAGACCCGGGTTCGAGTCCCGGCAACGGAATTTTTTTGTTGTTTCTCGCACCTTCGGTTTTTATGCGTTTTGACCCAACATAAAAACGGACAGCATGTTCTGTTACCTTCAGAAGACTCAAATCCTTCTCTGATTTCAAACAAGACGATGTCCGCACCACCTGCTACGTTTGCATGTTCTCTAGTTCTCCACGTATTTTTCTGGTTCAGAGTTCAGAGTGCAATTTTGCACAGCTCGTCCATGTAGGACGACAATACTTCACACATGCACTACTACTCTACTGGAGTACATTGGCTTCCTAACTCTGAAGCTGTATAACACTTCTCTCCGACGAAACGAAACGAACCCCAACCGAAGTGGTAACCGGCGAGGTCGCCTTCCTTTGGATTGGATTGGATTGGATTGCGACTGAAACCCCCATCAGAGTTCAGAAACGCCACACGGGATACGCTATGCTTTGCTTTGCTTCAGACGCTTCCGATATCCCCCACATCCTCAAGGAAGCAACCAGACAAGCAGGATCCAACTGACTGGATCATTGGAGGCAGGAGACCTTGAGCTGGATATGAACTATGAATATGCAGTGACCCCAACACCCATATGGAGTACTGTACTATCTTATCTGAAGAAGAGAACACTCACCTGGACGTGGGCTCGTGGCACAAGCTGGATATGAAGAGGCCCATGCTTCATCAATCATCGGAGTCTTGCATTGCACGTCCTAAACCTTAGCTTCAGTTACAGGTCACTTTAACTTGACAGCAACGACCAATGGCTTTAGGTTATTTTCCCTTTACAGGTTCAAGTTGGAGCCAAGTGTGTAAATCCAACAGAGACCAGTACATTACTCGTATACAACAAAACAAGATCAAGTGATCAACCTAAACAAGTTATTTGGCTAAGGCCCTATTTGTTTTAGCTTAAAATTATTGTAATCTAAATTATTAAATCAGATTACTCTAAACTGGATTATAATAAGTTGACATAAAATAAGCTGCAAGTTGTTTGTTTCTCTGGATTATTAGAGGCATCTAAAAGTAGTAGGTCTTTAACCACTCAATAATCTGAAAAAAGCTCCTCTATAGGAGATTATTGGATTATACTAATCTGACTTATAGATTATAATAATCTAGCATAATAATCTAGTTGTTTGTTTCAGCTTACTTCTGATAATCTAGATTATAATAATCATAAGCTGAATCAAATAGGGTAAAAAAAAACAGGATGCAGTTGGGCTTAAAATAGGTTTCAGATTAGCAAAGCAGTACACTTTTTCCGTCGTTGTCCTCTTTTATTCCTCGCGCCATTGCACTCTGCACGCTGCGCTGCAGCAGAGCAGCGGGTTTTGTTGCTTCCCTCCCATTAGATGGGTGGGGGCCCGACCTGGCCATTAGCAACAGCGAGCGCACTAGTCCTCCACTGCCCAAAGTAAAGTGCTCCATGTCAACAGGTGAGGCCGTCCGGGAGATGATCAGATGAATCACAATTAACTTCTACTTGTATTTTTATTGCTATCATGAAACTTGTCACGACTCACCACCGCACGAGGCCTCTGATGGATGCAATTACTGTAGATATGTTTATGTTAATCCTTGTGTACGTCAAATAAATCGGCAGTACGCCAGTACGTAGTAGGGCAATGACAACGGACAGTCCAAACCGACGTCGAATACTCTATAGTATCCCGGTCGACGGGTCGAGAGCCCGAAACGGTGCAGGCACAGCACATTTGGTTTCAGGCCTTTTCAGGTTGCAGATGCCTCGACTCTACTACACGCGTGTCAGCGTCTTGTTTGCCTTTGCCTGGGTTGGCGCGACACAGAATCGGAGATGCCACCGGCCAATTGATCCTGGACTCGTGCAACCCGATACAAAATGCCACGGGAAGCTCGGGTTTGCCGAAAATTCACGGGACCTTGCTCCACTGGTCGCACATCCCGATTTCACACCGGAATAGTAGCCGTTTTACTCGTTTTTCCCCTATCCTGACGTAGTGCAAGATCATCATTTCTACTGCAATGTGCAGAGAGCAACTCATGCTCGGGTTGCAAATATTAATTCAAAACGATGAATCATCAACGGATTCTCTTCAATTTATTTGCTCTACCAGATTTACAATTAACAGAGTTTGGAATACAAATATTTTTTTATTAATCAAATCCTGATAATTAGAAGCGCAGCTCATGAGGGTAGATCTCAAGAACAAAACACATTCTTATTCCCTATGCAATAAAGAAAGGCAGTTCGGGTACAGCTCAGAACGACGAGAGGCCACCGACCGCGTTGACGGGCCCACCCATGTGGTCCAACGTGGGTTTAGGTGGGCCCCACCCCGACAATCCCGCCCCACCTCCATCCACAGCCACAGACAGGTGGTCCCACCTGACGCCATAAAGCAACCCGGCCCCACCGCCCAGTGCCAGCGACGCGGGCCAGCTGGCGACCACCTCACGCCCTTCGAGGCGCCACTCGCTTTTCCCCTTCTCTCTCTCTCTGCTTATCTTATCACATTAGAAAAAGGCCCACGGTTGGCTCATATTTACAGGAGACTGCCACTGCTTCTCCTCCTTCCTATTTCTTCTCGCATTCTCTCCCTCGTCTCCGGGAGAAAATTTTGCGGGCGGCGAAACAAACTAGTAATCGATTCGAAATTTAAACGCATTGTTGTTTTATTGTTTGATTAGTTTAGCTCAAGAAAGATTCATAGCTCAGCTATGACCAGCCAGATTACACACAAAAAATTCGAGGGTGTGAAACGTTATGGAGAACGAAATTTACAGAAGAGCATGGAGAAGATAAAGGGAAAAGGAAGAGAAAAATGCTGCTCTCCATTGCTTTCTTCTTCCTCCCTCCCCTCCCCCAAGAAAAGAATTCCCCCCAGTATTCCAAAGAACATCCTAAAATATTTCCCCCAAAAAAAAAGTCGAAATAAGAATGTTAATGTTTTGATCCTGGAGTGGAATCGACCACTGGATGGCCAGAGAATAAGAAGAAAAAAAGAAGAAAGAAAAAGAAAAGAATTAGCAGAAGAATTAGGGCGGATTATAGTCACAAGTTCTTGGATCCCCTGGTGTAGCCGTAGTAGGAGAGGTACCACTTGACGAACTTCTTGAGCCCGACGTCGAGGTTGGTGGTCGGCTTGTAGCCGAGCTGCTGCCTCGCGAGGGAGATGTTGGCGTGCGTGAATGGCACGTCGCCATTGCCGGGCATCTCGACCACGTTCTTCTTGGCCTTCACGCGGAGGTGCTTCTCCAGGATGGACACCAGGTTGGGCACCGTCACCGGCGAGGTGTTGCCGAGGTTGAAGATCCTGTAGGGCGCCGGCCCGCGCTTCTTGCCCCCGGTGCCGGTGCTCTTCCCGGCCGTGTCGAGCGAGCCGAGGCAGCCCTTGACGATGTCGTCGATGTAGGTGAAGTCGCGGGCGAGGTCGACGCGGTTCTTGCCGCGGTACACCGTGATGGGCTTCCCCTGCAGGATGTTGCGGGTGAAGGAGAAGTAGGCCATGTCCGGCCGCCCCCATGGCCCGTACACGGTGAAGAAGCGGAGTCCGGTGATGGAGAGGCCGTAGATGTGGTTGTACGTGTGGGTGATCTCCTCGCCGGCCTTCTTGGTGGCGGCGTACAGCGACGCCGGCTGGTCAGTGCGGTCGCTCTCCGTGAAGGGCACCTTGTCGTTGAGGCCGTAGACGGAGGAGGAGGAGGCCCAGACGATGGCCGGCTGCGGGTCGGCGTCCTTGCATGCCTCGAGGAGGGTGACGAGGCCGGCGATGTTGGAGTGCACGTAGGACGCCGGGTTCTCCATGGCGTAGCGCACGCCCGCCTGCGCCGCGAGGTGGAGCACGTGCGTGAAGGGCACGACGTCGAAGAGCTTGGCGAGGAGGCGGCCGTCGTTGATGTCGCCCTCGATGACGAACACCCCGTGCGAGGCGAGCAGCGACCTGCGCGCCTTCTTGAGCGAGGGGTCGTAGTAGGAGTTGAAGTTGTCGATGCCGACGACGCCGTCGCCGCGCTTGCGGAGCGCGAGGGAGCAGTGCGTGCCGACGAACCCGGCGGCGCCCGTCACGAGCACCGACATCCCCGCGCCCGCCGCCGACCCGGGCGGCCGCCTCGGCGCGGCGGACGCGCGGATCTGGCGCTCCCAGTGCAGCCCGCCCCAGGAGGCGGCGAAGTACTTGGACGAGGTGTCGACGAAGGACTGGAAGCTGAGGTACGACGCGGTCATGGCGACGAGGAAGAGCGCCCAGAGGAACATGGTGCTGGTCGACGCGAAGCAGCGGTGGAGCTGGCGGTTCATCGCCGTCGCCCTCTCGATCTTCACCTTCCCCGGCGTCGACGGGAACATGTCGTCCTCCAGCACCCGCATCCTCCTCGCCCGTCTAGAACCTTCTAGATTACCAAAATCGGCGGTGCCTTTTGGATCGAGGGAGTTCTTGGGGGGGGAATTCGGGGATTGGAAAAAAATATTATTATTAGGGTGGGGAAAGGAGGGGGGCAGGGGCTAGATGTGCGCCTGCCTGAGGAAAGGGTGGAGATGGGACGAGGCCGGATATAAATAGGGGGGGAGGAGACGCGTGAGCGCCGCCGCGGCAGCTGCTCGCTGACGGTGGCGGCCGGCCGCCTGGCTGGTTGGGTGGGTGGTTGGTTGGTTGAGGGGAGGGTGATCGGTTTCCGTTTCCTTTCCTTCCTTTTCTTTCCTTCCTCTCTTTGTTGTGTGGAAGGGAGTATTTATTTATAGTAGTTTGTTGCTATTTTTGATGGATTTATTTTATCATATATTGATCGATTGGGAATGGCTGGTTTTGTGTAGTGATTTGTGTTTCCGCGTGAAGAGTGTGTGAATTAATCTGCTGTGAATGGCATTGCGTCGTGCGGTAATAATGGTGGTGAAATGAATTCACGCGTGTGGAGAATTCGACGAGTTTAATGGAGGAAGCTTCCATTGACTGGGATTTTATTTATTTTTGGATAAGTTGTTTTTGGAATTTATTTATTGGGGGGGGGGGGGGGGGACAATAATTCTGCCCGTAGAAATCGTGTCACATGGGGGGTCAGATTTGTGTGTTTTAGTTTATCTGGAAGCGGTGTTTAACGTGGTCATGCAATGGCAATAGCGTGGACAGTGTGATTCATCTTATTATTTCCAGGTCTTCAGGAGCAGATTATTTTACGGTGAATAGCTAATTCGGTCATTAAACTTTTGTTACGTGTTAAATTAGTTCTTGATGTTTCACATATTCTGAACAAGCTTTAAAAGATTCTCGTGTGGCTTAAAACAGTTCTCGAACACCATTAAAAATGCCACGTGGTATTACCAAGTTATTTTGCACATAAAAGTCAGCATTTAAATCTCCATATTTACCTGTTACAACTATGGGTGTGTTCGGAACCCTGGTTCCCAACACTAAGTGCCCGCACGGAAAACGGAGCAACGATTAGCAGGTGATTAATTAAGTATTTGTTATTTTTTTAAAAAAATGGATTAATTTGATTTTTTTAAGCAACTTTCGTATAGAAACTTTTTACAAAAAAAACGCACCATTTAGTAGTTCGAAAAGCGTGCGCGTGAAAAATGAGGGAAATGAGTTGAGAAGAGAGACGGCTGAACACAGCCATATATGGTGCACAATGTTTAGCTTTATATTTTGAGTAGGAAAAAAAAGTGGGTGAGAGAAGAAAAAGGAGACACCGAACATAAAACAAAGGAAGATGTCACATTGTTTAATTACCAATGCAACATCTGTTTCGCCAATGACCAAAAACTGAAGACCCAAAGGGCAAAAGTATCTGCCAGGCAGGGAGTCCTTTTGATTCAACTATACTAAGAATAACAAACCCTTGGCGACCCCCACCAAATGGTTGGGCAAAATCAATATGGATGGGGCTTTCTCCTCTAATGAAGGAAATGGAGCAATAGGAATTGTGATTAGAAATATTGACGGGAGAGTAATTCTAACGTCCTAGAGATTTTTCAGAAAATGTGTGGCAGCAGAGGAGGTTGAATTATTTGCTTGTCGTGAAGGCCTAAAATGTACCAATATCGGTCGAGTATTGAGTCTGACTGTGGCACGGTAATTGGAAGTAAGCCTGCTAATGGATTGAGTTGGAATGGCTTAAATGGACTGGATTCTAGTTTGGATTATCTTTGATTGGGTGAAAATGGGTTGCTATTTCAAATGGATTGGATCGGTTTTGGTGACACATAAGTGGATTGGTGTGGCCTGGATTTGATTTGGTGATATCGGGTTGAAAGTGGATTTAACCCATGGATGGCAAGTGGATTCCTTTAACAGACCGAGTTTGACTACTCCTTGTTGCCGTCCTCTTCGTCTCGGGAGAGGTCACACATGACCTGGACTTGGTGGCGACAGTCAGCGGAGAGGCCGCGCATGGCGGCACCGTATTCGTGGGAGTCGAGGCAGTTGGAACGTGTCTCGTTGCATCTCTTCGATCTCCTCCCGTCTCGCCGCTAGAGCTACCCGCTCTTGTGCCGACTAGGCTTCTTGTTGTTGCCCCACTGCTCCCACATGGCGATTGGATTTCCTTGCCGTGGCTGGTGATGGCCCGTGCTGAGCCTAGACAACATCTACTACGGCGGGGATGGTGCCGCTGGGCATGGTCACCATAGCTAACTGCAGGTGTGCGATATGTACAAGGGAGCAGTTGTGTCGTCGGCCCATCGCTCACCGCCGCCACCGCCGAGGAGACGGCCTTAGCGAGCTGGCTGGCCTCACGATGCTCCTGCGCCTACGTCGACGTGACCGTAGCTGAGAACGGCGCTGGCGTCATGTCCTCTGCCGTCACCACGACGCCACAGTTACATGCATGCAACATTTGCTCTATCCAGCTGCGTCGCCGCCGGTGAGTACGGCATGACTATTGAAGGATCGAAGTGGATTTGATGTAGGTTTAAATGGTTTGGGAGGTGGATTGAGGCCATAAAAGAAGAATAGGTTGGTTCGGTTTAGACTAATGAGGAAAATGGATTGGTCTGGTTTGGATTTTATGGGATGGCTAGTGGATTGGGATGGTTTGGGATAACATTGCTAGCTGTTGTGGATTGGATTGAATATGGGGTGGATCTTGCCCAATTGGTAGGCTTAATTTGGGAGGTTATTGGCTAGAGAGGAAGAAAGATCAAGGTGGACCTTTCTGCTGCGCGCAACGAATGATACAATGTCATTTGTTTAAGAAGTGTGATCTGTCACACTGTAAAATAGAGTGTAATAGGTTAGCTCATGATATTGCACAGCTTGCAAAATAATCAAGTCAGAACGCAGTTTGGTGTGAGACTATCATGGCTTGTGTTATGTATATGGGCAGCATGATTGTAATCCAGTTACTTATCGATAAAACTCTCTTTTCCAAAAGATATGCCGTTATGTTTTGTTTGTTTGTTCTTCATTGTTTTTCCTTTTTTTTATGAAAAATGTAATAGTAGAACAAATATTAAATGCTAAATTTGTATGAATGGATGATGTGGAATGACCATTGGCGTTTCTAGTAAGCCCGAAGACTATATTAAGCCACGTCAGGGACCAAAATGACGTTGAAGTGAAAGTTCTAGGGTTATCAACCCCGTTATTTTGTCCACGGCGGATGACATCTTTTTTCTCGTTTTCTTGTTCCAACTTCCAAACTCACACAGAGCCGACAGAGGTTGCTCATGCAGTCATGCTCCAGTGCTCCACGCTAGTCAGTGCCATCGTGGCAATGGATCTGAAGGCCGGGGGTTGAGGAAATCCAATTTAGAATTCATATTGTTAGACAGACCTTGCTAGTTGCCTTTCTTGTTGGACCCATACCGCACGATCTTCTCCGTGTGCTAATCGCCTATCACTGAAACCTTCCCCTGCGTTTGTTTGCTCCAGCCTCCAGGATTTTATGGCGAGTACTCATTCTATCCTATAAAAAACTAACTTAATAGCTAATGGCATGTATGGTTAGAACATTAGTCCATTAGTCCCTATAAGAGAAGCTTATAGGGACTGAGTTGTTTCTTTCCACCTGCTGCCCCCACTCACAACCCTATCCTCTCTCTCTCTGCATTGTTTTAGAGGTAACATGTTCTTTTTACAGTGCAATTAATAATCTTTAGTCTTTTTTTAATCCCTGTATCCAAACAGACATGGACTAAAGTTTTTTAAGTCCTACGACTAAAGGATGCAAACACCACCCTAAGATTGATATATCCTACTAAAAATTTAGCGGTTTTTTTTTATGGAAAGACTACATGCGCCAGCCGGCCGGCTAGATCGTTTGCTAGATTTGTGTCTCGCCCACGATCGTGTACAGTTGGAAGTCGCCCACGATGCGTTGTCGTAAACGACCTCATCTACCTACGCGCAGCCCAGCAACCGATCGAGAGAGAGCTCACGGTTGATGGCCGCCGCCTCCTGCATTCATTCAGGTAACAGTAGTAGTGAGCTACCTAGCCTCCCTACCAGCAGCACGAGAAAAAAGAAGAGACCACATATAATGTTGGGTTGTTGGAGAGAAGCCTTGGATTCACTTCCAAACAAAGGATCCGTCCCAAAATTCCCCAATCCAATCAACACAGAACCAGCCAGAACCCCTAGAGGGATCATCTCATGTGCGTCCTCTTGACGACCTTTCCACACCCCCCAAGCCACCATTGCTGCCAAAGTGGCAAATGTTTGCATCCCAAGCCTGCAATGCCAAGCACTGGCTGTGCACGGATACGTACTGCCCATGTGACGCCTCCTACCCAACCCTGCTGCAAGTGCTCTTGCTGAGTCGCTGGTGGTGGCCTAGTGCATGCATGTCTCAGCCTTTCTTACTGACTAGTCTCTCTGTTTCATAATATAACAACATGATATGAAATGAGATGCATCATATTGTTACAAAAGTGATTCATCGTACTAGGATAAGTTTAACACGTACTAGATTGTTGTATTATGGGAGGTGGCCTAGCGCATGCATGTCTCAGCCTTTATCACTGACTACTCTACTCTGATTATATAACAACCTAATAGGGAATGAGACATATTCTAATATTACAAATGTGAACATGAGATTTGCACAGATTCATAGTACTATGATATTTTTTTATTTTATACTAAATTATCACTCCCTCCGTCTCTAAATATTTGATGCCATTGATTTTTTTTACACATGTTTGATCGTTCATCTTATTCAAAAACTTTTGTAAATATTATTTAAAAAATTGAGTAGTAGTAGTATATTTAACAATGAATTAAATAATAGAAAAAAATTAATAATTACTTAATTTTTTTTAAATAAGACGAACGGTTAAACATATTTAAAAAACCAACGGCGTTAAATATTTAAGGAGAGAGGGAGGAGTATTATACTATAGGATAGAGGATGGAGGGAATACTCCCCTAGCTAACTGGGTGTCCCCAGCCTAATCAACACTGCGTCAAGCGACCGTAATGTGAAGCACGGGGGGCTTTTCCCCGTGTTTGGGTGGTCAAAAGCTGGCTTGATCTGTCGTTGGGACGTGAGTGCCCACATGGAGTAAACAGTGGGACGCCGATAGGATCACTTGTGAACTCTGATGCGTGCATGCGTGAATGGATGCTTTTTTGGAGATTGCTTCCTTATGAGTGGCGATTAATTAAGCCAGTGATATACTCCGATGAGTGAGAGGGTGACGTGGCACTAACCAGGAACATTTGTAGTTGTAGGTGGGGGGAAAGAGGAGAAGAGCATTGGTCATCATAGCTCGGTGGATATGGAGGCCGATCGAACTTATTCTTCTTTTTTTGGTTCGGTTCTGATTTCTTTTTCATCATTCCTGCGTGACACATGAGAGCTACGGTTTTTTTTTTTCAGGAAGGACAGGTCCAACGATACGATGGATTAGTGCGCTAGAAGTTGGTTTGATCGAGTGCGTAAGCTTCAAGTTACTGCAAACTTTTGCTAATATGCTTATCCAAAACAATGAGCCGTTTCTGGCTAGTCTTTACGAAAAGTATTTTGTATTTTTTGGTCAAAAATTTAAATTTTATCATCTACAGTTGGTACAGTTGGGTGCTGTTACCAAATCTGATTGGTTCATCTCGATCAAACTAATCTAAACTCGCTCTCGCCGTACGACACCGGACACACGGGCCCCTTTTCACTTTGTTGGGCGTCCAAACAAAAAGAAGCCAATTGATCAGGACAGCTATAACATGGGTAGCTTGCAAATGAAACCTTCAACTGTGCCGTTAAATGACAAGAAAGGCTTTAATTTCCACGCGCTCCAATCTCCGTCGCGACCGCAACAAAAATATGCATATCCATCCATCTCCGATGATAGTAACATCGTGACATGATGACACGAGTAATAAATTTCTGTGAGGTTATCCCTCTAATTATAGGTTAGCCAATAATAATACTAATATGACTTCAATTAAAATTGTTAACAAATTAGTATTTGCAATTTTTGAATCTGTACATAACTATAAACGATTTCGGGTTAAAATTTTTGCAACCTATGTAACTATAAACAACTAAGGTCCTATTTGTTTCAACATAAGATTGTTATAATTCAGATTATTGATCCACGTTATTATAAGCTGGATTATAATAAACTATAGTAGAATAAGAATAAGTTATGAGTTGTTTATTTCTCTGGATTATTGGGTTTGAGCTAATTAATGTTTATAATACCATAAGCTATTGCGGAGTGGGAGGAGGATGAGACGGCGGCGGTGATGCGGCTAGGGGAAGGAGCGGGGCACAGGATGGGTGTCGGTGATATGGGTCTGGAGGTATCAGGACCATCGGGAGGAGGCTGCCCCCGGTAGCCACGTGCACCCCGCCAGGGGGATCGGCCTCCTCCGCCCACCTAACCGCATTTAAGGCAGTGTGAACGAGCGCACCATGCTACATTAAATGCAGTGCGTGGTGCGCCTTGTTGTATTGTGACCAATCTGGGACCAGTCGAATGACCGATGTGGCCAGGGTAGTACGCCTGTGCACTGTCACATTGCGTATCACAGCCGGAGACGGTTTGCCTAACCCGGTCAGCGTAAGATTTCTGTTTCCCGGCGCAAGTGGGGACCCAAAAGTCTTCACTCATTAAATACCGAATGGCATGCATGTCCCCCGTGTCAACTGGATAGATTTGATGGGCCCCACGCCGTAGCAACGCGTGCAATAGACTTCCAAGGCAAGCAACGAGACATGCATTTAATGTGATTATCCTCCCTGGATAGGCTGGGTGGGCCCATGTAGTAACCCCTTGAGATATAAAAGGAGGTCCAGGCCGGAAAGGCTAAGGGACGATCGATCGCCCCTAGCGCGGTCCCCCCTCCCTCCACGTGGTTTCTTTTTTTGTCACCGTATTACTTTCTTATTTTAGTAAATTTATGCACCTAAAGTTTATACATCTCAAGTTTACACATCTAAAGTTTAGAGATCCAAAGTTTATAAGTCAAAAGTTTATATATCTAATTCAAATTTGAATTTGAATTCAAATATTTTTTTATATATTGTATTTCTATACATCTAAAGTTTATACACCTAAAGTTTATAGACCCAAAGTTTATAAGTCAAAAGTTTACATACCCGATTCAAATTTGAATTTGAATTATATCCAATTCAAATTTGAATTTGAATTTGAATTCAAATATTTTTTATATATAGTATTTCTATGCATCTAAATTTTATACACCTAAAGTTTATAGACCCAAAGTTTATAAGTCAAAAGTTTACATATCCGATTCAAATTTGAATTTGAATTCAAATATTAGTTTATAGGCCCAAAGTTTATAATTCAAAAGTTTACATACCCGTTTCAAATATGAATTTGAATTCAAATATTTTTATATATAGTATTTCTATACATAAATTTTTTCAACTTTATTTTTTTATTTTTAAAAAATGTATGGTGTAGTAGGAAGAGAAGATGGGAGGAGGAAGGGAGAGAGTAGCTTATAAGGGATGGGGGTGATCGCCTGGAGCGGTCACCCGCCCATTAGCCACCCCCGGTTCAGGCCTATCTAGGGAGGGATGAGCCTTTTTCACTAAAGCAGTCTTCTGCCCTCATCATCAACAGCTTCTACTCTAACAAGGAGATATTGTAATTTCTCACACAATCAGCTAAGCACAAGAGTAGAGTATTATGCTTCTTAGCGGCCCGAACATGTATAAACCCCTATTATCTCATTGTTCTCGAGGAATCCGATCTCACTGAGTTCTCGAATCTCACCCGCTGCCTCCGGCCAAACCAACAAAGTGGGGCCTCACTGTCCCCCGCTAGCGGAGTTCACCCTCCAACAATGGGGCTTGGGGAAGGATTTGCGCGCAGGGTTTGGGTTTGGAGAATGATTCGCGCGTGACTAGGGAGATAGAAAGGAAACGGATGCGTTGGGTTTGATAGCAGTGGTGGGTAATTTACATAAATTTTTTAAGTGCAGTGGGTCTTCGTGTCCGTTGCACAGGATTCTGGAACGTCAATTTTCTTATCTTCTTTTTTTTTTAAGAAGAAAGATATTCATTACTTAGCTTGGATCGGTCAAAGACTCAAGCGTCGTAACTTTCTGAAGTGAGATATACGGAGTACTATTTACATACGCAAATCCGAGCGATGGCGACTGGCGAGAGGTGGTGAGCTAAGGTATCTATCCGTACCTGCGCCGCGCAATTGACTTTCCCGGCCGCGCACCGCACGTCGTGGCTGCGTTTCGTTTCTCGGTCTCGCGCGCGTGGTGTCACGTCTTGACCCGCCGCTCCGACGATCTCGCGCGTACGTACGTACGTACGCGACGACGACTGAATGGCAACAGCAGCAGCCGTACGTTGCCGTCGCCGTCACGCACGGCGCGACACTTTTGCCCTCACCTCCTACGCCTACACGTAGTACATACATACATACACGACTAAAATACACGTACGTAGTACGTACCACGAGACTAGGACGTCTCTCACCTAATGGGCCGGCGCGCCTACCGTCATCAAGGCCTGAAAAGCATAAGTTCATGTATATATATGGGCTCTCTCATCGAGGCCCGATTCAGCCGAGGCCGAGGCGACACATCGTAACGGGCCGGAAACCTTATTGGGCTTCGTCCTTGGGCTTAGAAAATCCAGTTTCCTTCTTCCAATTCCGGCCAGCCTTAACACACAAAACAGCTAGCGCCCGTTGTATTGCAGCCGTGGACTGGACACGCTGGAGGAAGCATCAAAACCAGTATTTTACGCAGAAGTAAACGCCCAGAACGCCCAACTTGCCCAGGACTTTCGTCATGCTGCAGATGTCACCACCTATAATACACTGCCCGGATGAACATTCCAAACCCCCAACCATATCTCATCGTAAAATTTGCAGCTCGTATAGGACAGTAAACGAAGAAACCATCGTCGTACGTCGTCCATGTCTGACGCCCCTCCCATGGCCGAGAAACCAACTGTAAGTATGCCAATGTCTGCACTTTTTCCCTCTCTTAGACTGTGTTTAGTTCCACGCTAAAATTAGAAGTTTGACTAAAATCGAAAGCTTAAAGTAAAAGGTCGGAAGTTTATGTGTGTAGGAAAGTTTCGATGTGATGAAAAAATTGGAATTTTGAAGAAAAAATTGGAACTAAACCAGGCCTTATTCGATTCTTGCATCTCTCGCTGATCTGATGAGTATTTGCAGATCAAGGTGGAGACGACGCCGGGAGACTGGAGGTTCCCGTCGGCCAACCAGACCAAGCGATGCTTCACGTGCTACATCGAGTACAACAAGCAAGTTCGCCATCGATCCTTACCTATACAGTACCCCCTATATATATATATAGCTAGATAGATTGATAGATAGGAGTACAGTACATATATATAGCGATGTTTCATCTGCACGCCTAGTAGCTTATAGCACGCATGTTCATGAAGCTGAAGTAACCACGATGACTCATATCCATATGGTACGTAAATCCTATCTATAATTCTGTATGCAGGTGCATAGAAGCCAAGGGTGAAGGGTCCGACGAGTGCACCAAGTATGCCAAGTGCTACAGATCCCTCTGCCCCGGGGAATGGGTACGTACTTATAGCTAATGGAAATATTTTACATCTTCGGCTTCTGTTATAAAACACACGGTAATAATTTGTTAAACAAGAAACTGAGACATAAGATAGTTTACATGTATAAGTTATTCTATATCACGTACTCTGAACCAGTAGCAGTACACAATACAGTACCAGAGAGATCGAGATCGATCAATGTACTCCTTCCTACTTCCTCCGTTTTAAGTTATAAGACTTTCTAGCATTATATTGCCCATATTTATATAGATGTTAATCAATCTAGACACACATATATGTTTAGATTTATTAACATGTATATAAATGTGGGCAATATTAGAAACTCTTATAATATAAAACGGAAGAAGTATCTCTCAAATGGCGACAAAGAAAAATATGTATCGCATATCTATGTGTGGTCCGTGAAGATGTAGATGTAGATATATATAGTCAAGACAAGGCATGCGGCTAGTGTACTGCTAGTGGTTCATCCTGGACAGAATATATGCATGCATGCACAAGCCAAGCAATATGCAAAGAAGCAGGCATGATACATGCACTCTAGTAGGTCTCTAGCCATACAAGTAGCCAAGTAGCATGCTGACGAAAACGACGCGAGTAGCACGGCCATTTATTTACACGCCGGAATTGAACTAGCTATAGCTAATAAACTCGCCGTGTACAGAGAGTGTACAGTACAATACTCGATCGCAGCTTGGTCCTGGCTACCACTGTGCAGTGCCATTTTTGTTCGATTAGTAGCACTGTTCCTCACTGGCTTGATCGTTCGAAACTGTGCTTGATTGCATGCAATATTCCCTAGCTAAGCTAGCTGTTTGCGAAGACAACTCTGAATAATTCTCACATGCGTGTTTCTTGTTTGGCGTTGGGATTTTGTGTGTGGGTGTGTGTGCAGATCGAGAGGTGGAAGGAGCAGAGGGCAAACGGGACTTTCGCTGGGCCTCTCTGAAACGGGGACAGCGACCGATCGATCGACCATATCTCTACATATATCGATCGGCTACAGCTAATAATACCAATCAATCCTGTATGCAATGTCGTCTCGATCGTCAGGGTGAAGCCTCGTCGTGACACTCCTAGCTAGTATTATGTACACTCATGACAGTGTCAGTTATTAATTGGTTGTTGTGTCTAATTGCAGTATTAGTAGCGAACTAGCGATGCCCCTGCACTGCTGTACAGTGCCGTGACAAGCTACTCTGAATTTTTTAGATAGTACGCTAGCTGCACCCGTCATAAATTTGGTTGTCTTTGGTTTCGGTTGGCTCTGCTTCCATGTTGCTCTACTACTAGTCTACTACTAATAATGGGTAATTAGCTACTCACAGGTCGATCAGTACGTTGATGCCACATATATAGTTGTAATAGTCATATGGTTTGGGTGAACTAGCTAGGTAGTTCTATATGATACACGAGGAACAATTGACCAAACTAACTAATCAGACAAATTAAATTGCTACATGGAGTGCAAGTCGACCAACGACCTAAATCATGATTGCCAGCTAGTAGCTAATTAAGACATACAGAGTATGCATGCATATACTGATCGATTGACTTGCCAAAGACTCAAAAGTACTATGAAGCTGGTCAATCAAGAGTAAAACCACACACACATGAAGCATGCATAAGTAGAGTACACGCGTCGACAATTCTCACGTCCTTAATTTTCAATTTTAATTTCTGGGAGCTTAATTTTTCATCTAGACGAGTTCCTCCGTTGCATAGGTCGTTGTATATATCGCCATCATCTGCCTGTGCCTCGCATGCTTCTCTTTCGCTATATCTTCCGACACGCATCTCCCCATCCCTATCAGCTAGATTTATTTATTTTTCGTTTTGAGTTGAGATGAACTAGAAAATAGTAATATTTTTAATTTATCGGCTAAACAATTAATATTACTCCTAGTCAAAATGCATGGTGTGTGGTAGAAATAAGCCCTAGCTATATATAGCTATATATAAATATATAAACTGAAGACTACTGATCACTACTCTGACTACTGTACGTTCCACTGATCGCTGCCGCTAGTGTTCCGGATAAGGTTTAGGCAATTGTAATGTGAACAGCACAGTGATCAGTTCATTGAATAAACCCAGCGAATCATATCGATCAGATGGCAATAAGAGTCAAGCATGTCATCAGCCTTCAAGCTTCAACTACTGTACTGGACTGTGGGTAGGCTCTGACTGTCAATGGACGTCAGAAAGAATATTGTAATTAGGGCATGTTTAGATCCTCTAATAAAAATTTTCACCCTATCACATCGAATATTTAGACACATGTATACATTATTAAATATAAAAAAAATAACTAATTATAGATTACATGTAAATTGCGAGAAATCTTTTAAGCCTAATTGCTACATGATTTGACAATATGGTGTTACAGTAAACATTTGATAATAATGGATCAATTAGGCTTAATAAATTCGTCTCGCAGTTTACATGCGGAATCTGTAATTTATTTTGTTATTAGTGTACGTTTAATACTTTAAATGTATCCGTATATCCGATGTGACACGCTAAAACTTTATACCCATGGATTTAAACACCCCTTTAGTGAAGTGAGAGAGCATCGACTCTCTGTCAGGTGTCAGATAGCTAAATGGAGAAAACTGAAAAGCGATTATGCTTGTCTTCAGTTATAGTTGGCTGACCTGGCTCAGCTCAAGCACTTGAGTAGTGTCACGCAGAGAAACACTTAGAGATTTTTTGGCTAGCTCCACAAGACATTAGGCTAGATGACTTGGGTTCGAAGCCTCACCTCTTCTAATTATTTGATATTAGATCATTCCCTAATATTCGTGTTTTTTTCACCAAACCAAGCAGTAAATGGAGAAAAATATAATTAATTGCACCTTAATTAATGGATTAATGTTTGGAGTATTGGGAGTACTGTCATTCTTCCTTTTAGCTTAGATAATTGCCGTACTCTCAACAGAACAAATGCATTACATACAGTCATACAGTGAAGAGACACTTGTACCAAAAGAACTGCTTCATTAATTGCACATACGTTACGACATCCTTTATACATAGCTGTTACGTACGTAGACATGTATACAAGGTTTGCATGCAATTTGTAGAAAAGAAAAAGATCGAATCACCTGACAAATATGTTACATGACACTATACTTACATATGCACATTACCCTCAACTCGGGCATCACTCATGCATGATCTGAAACTCTCAGTGCTAATTAATAAAGAAGAAGTGATATATATATAGTAGATAGAGAAAAGAAGAGGAGGGGAAGTTAACAACAACTACATATGATTCTTACATCAATTGATTATTGATCATGTCTTCCTCACTGCATCTTCTTCTTCAGTACTACTACTGTTACATGAAACAGCAGTTACTAGCTAGCTAGTTACCTGCAAATTAACACCAACACATGCATATCCATGGCTCAGTTAGTTCATGCATGGGTGTGTGCAATGCAAGCACGGTGAGGAAAGTTTATGAGATCGAGTAGCTTAATTAATTAACTAATTACCTGAGTTTTTGAGTTTTTGTTCTTGGAGAGTCCTCACAAGAAGCTGCATTACATCGACCTGAGCTTTCAGAGACACGGCATAGTCTAGGGTTTCCCCCAGCAACGCGCACATGTCGAGAGCTTTCCCTCCCGGCACGATCTCTTTCAGCACGCTCGCCCTCTTCCTCACCATGGCCCTCGCGACGCCACCGCCGCCGCCGCCGCCGCCGCCGTACGCCTTTGTGGTGGCCGCCGTGGTGTTGTTCGCCGGCCTGATCGGCCGCCGCCGCCGGCGGATCAGGCTCCTCCTCACGATCTTCCTGCAGATCATCTTCCTCGGCGACGGCGACGGCGGCGAACGGTGCTGCTGCGGCGCCTGCGCGAGCTCCGCCGCCAGCGACCGGCTCCAGCACGGCGCGGCGCCCCTGGCGGCGGCGAGCGCGGCGTCGGCGGCGCGCTTGATGGCGCTCTTCCTCTCGTGGAAACCCATCTCCCCGGACGCCACGCCGCCCTTCCTGAGCCCTAGGATGAGGTTCCGGAGCAGCGCCCGCTTGAACCTCCCCGAGCCGCCGCCGCCGGCGCCGCCGTTGCCGCCGCCGCCAGCTTGCACTCTAGCTGAAGGCATGGTGGTGACCAAGCAAGCTCAAACAGCTGCTAGCTATGGTAGGTGTACGTGTTGCAGCAAAGTTGAAATGGAGCAAGAATTAATCCTACAACGAGAGAAATGGAAATGGATGGGAGGGAGTGTATCAGAATCGAAGGAGCAACATGGACATATAAGTAGGCATTGGCATGCATACGCATCAATTATGCGTGCACGTACTATCTACTCGTTGATCATGATGATGATCTTTTCGTACATGTATGTAGCTAGGTTCATTGGATAAGATCTCTGGAATGTGAGTTGGAGAGAAAGGGAAAGAGAGAGAAATAGAGAGATAGAGCTATCTAACTATCATCACGAGAGGAGAGGGGAGCCCATGTCTCCATTATATTGGCTTAGCTATAGGGAAAGAGAGGAAGAAGAAGAAGAAGGTTAGCTAGGACTAGGAGGACTAGGAGAGGAGTATTGGCTAGGAGGAGAGATCGATCGAGAGGAGACAATGCACATGCATGCACATGGGTGGCTCGCGCTCGCTGCGGCCCACGCCCACGCACACATGCCGCACTGAGCTAGTGAGTTTAATACCACTCGATCGCGCGCGTGTAGAGAGAGAGAGAGAGAGAGAGAGACAATGCAAGCAGCGCAGTGGCAGTTGCACAGTGCAACGCCCCTGAAGGCCCTGTTCGGTTGCACAGTGCACAGTTGCACAGTGTTACGCGGCGGGAAATGAAAAGTATATTAAAAAATTTATGATAGATATAATAAGAGATCGAAATCGAAATTTATTCTGGGCCGAGAACCAATTTACTCATGATAGGGACAATAAAAGCAGGTACAATAGCAGGTTATAAGCCAGCTGCAAACATATTTTAAGGAGATAAATGAGAAGAGAGAAGAGCAGCGGGCTACAGATTTGTAGCCAGCTGTAGCACGGACTCAAAGACGCATTGTGTGTATAACAGGTGGGACCATGTATTAATAGTGTAGTATGTAACTATTGTATGAATGAACTATTAGATTGACTATAGATAAATTGGAGCTAGTAGTCGACTGTACTATTAAACTTGCTCTAAGAGACCAGAATTAGTTCCACACCTCTTGACTAGTGGATTGATTCCTGATCTTTTATTATTCCTATCATAAATAAATTGGTTTTCGGCCCGAAATAAATCCCGGTCTCCCATTGTATCTATCATAAATTTTTTACTACATTTATCATTCCTGGCCCGGATTGAATCCAAGCAACAAGGCCGAAATGTTGAGAGTAGTGTGGGGGTGGGGGGAAGGGGTCCCTTGGCTGGATATGAGACGCGGCCGTACGAACAGTGTTGCAAGTTGTAACGTAGTCGATGGGTAGCATGCATGAATCTTACAAGTAGCTATAGCACGCTCTCGTGCCTGCCTGCCTTGGCCTGGGGCTGATTTGTGCACACACTTGCCTGACAACTTGCCTGATCTGTCGTCTGAAAATACTATCTGAATCGACCGTAGAACAACCTAGCTGCAGACATGTATATATATCCGATGCCCTCCATACTCCATTCATCCTTAAAAAAAAATCGGTTTCTAACTACGAATCTAGACATCGGCTATGTCTACCTTATAGCAACTGGTTAATCCTATATATGTTACGCTCATGTCTACTCGTTAATTATTCCATTTAATCCCTGATGCTCAGTAATACTATACTCTTAAAATTGATAGCCAAGTGTGTTTTGTTCTGTTTTGGATAGCGTAGTAACTGTAGAATTACTGGTTAATCTATATGATTTATCTTAGCTTTTAATTTAGGTGATTTTTTTAAGGAGTTGGGAACTAGTCCCGTCACTTGATATATTGTTTTTGTTTTCTTTTCTATCCCTCAACGCGAAAAGCCTAAAACTTATTTACTGTGTATCTATTGTAACTATTTTTATTATACAAATTATTTTCACGAACACGTAGAAAGATTGTATATTAATACCATTGTAAAAATTACGTCCAGGTTCATAATTAAGTGTTTCTTTTTGCGCGGGAGAGGGGGTGTGTTATTGTGCAGGTAGCAAAAGGACGACGAAGGCTTGACCAGAATTAACTGGCGGAAGGACCTAACGACTACTGCTCCAGATTAATTAAGCTTCAGTCGTCTATGGATATGGCCATGATAAGCTACACGAGTTAGTACACGTGTAGGCAGTACGACACATGGCCCGGCCGGCCCCCTGATTAGCGGGATGCTTTGTTTGCTTATCAGTTATCACCCTCCTCGTATTACGACGACGACGACGACTAGTGCGTTTGGTGGCGAGCATGTGATGTGAGTAGTGTTCATATATGCATCATTGTTAATTTCGCTTTGGTTCTTCCCTACTCTCTTGAGACGAGCTAGCTAGATTAATTGTTGATCAGCAGCTAATTAACTGTGTGTGCCTATTAGTAACACGTATGCAAGCTAGTAGCATTGTTCTCATAATTGATCAATGATCTCTACTGGCTACTGCTCATGCTGAACTGATTAAACTATTGCATATATATATTCAGATAGCAGCACACGTACATGCTGCACTGCAACACGATCGACCGATCGAGCATGGATTGAAAGCTTAGAAACCAATAAACCTATGATCGATGATGGATCGATCGATCGGTTGGTGCACGCATGTGGTTTGTGTCCTTTTGTCATGTGAATTAATTGAGCGAATCGATCGAAGCTTTTGCTGCTACAAGGCAAGCTTTACTGGGGATGGATTCTAATAGCTCGAGTGGACGTCCACCCGTTTATTGCATGTCAACTAAATGGCTACGAAAAATTTTTAAAAAAATTGGCAAGATAGATCAATATGTAATATATCGCTCTATAAACATGCAAGTTAAAATTCAACTTCTACAAGTTGCAACAAAAATAACAAATTTAACTGTAAATATACATATAGTAATTTGAGTTTTGTTTGTTATTTTTGTTACAATCTGTAGAAGTTGAATTTTAACTTGCATGTTTGTGGATTGATGCATTACATATTGATCTATCTTATTCATATTTTTTCAATTTTTTTCATAAACATTTAGATGACATGCAATAAACGGGTGGCCATCCACTCGGGCTGTTAAAATAGTTTCCCAGCTTTACCTCGTTTTCGCTAGAAAGGGATAGGCAGCTTAGTATAGTGCAGGCCGGGGCCGGGCTCTGGCATGATCCGGAAAACATGCACGCACCAGCGAACACGAGCACCACCCCATCTCCAGCCTCTGAATTTCTCAAACGCCACAGCACCAACTGCTAGCTAGGAGTACATGTGCAGTGTCGTCTGTTCGCCAATTTACCTAAGCGATCGATCGACTGCTAAATTCACCTTCACATATACAGTTGTGAGTATTCACATCACAGGTAATTAAGCAGAAGCATATATAGAATTAAGTAGGACCATGGTGGTGTTTGAAACTTATGTAGATAAAGATAAAAATTAAGTGTTTTATGCAAAACGAGGTGGTGTTAATATGCGATTAATCGAGTTTTAATTATTACAAACTTGAAAAATATATTTATCTGATATTTTAGAGCAACTTCCATATAAAAAATTTTCATATGAAAATTTTATATTGACTGAAGTGCCGTTTAGCAGTTTAAATAACGTGTCACGAATATCTAAATTTCCTTTCAATTTTTGTTGGAAAAAAGAACAAGGCCTGTGTCGGCCACGAGATAGATAACGCCTGGTCGCCTGCTGCCAGTGCCAGCACAGGGGGCCGGATCGGAGGAAAGCTCACAGTTTTGATCATCTGATCAATGCCATGGAACGGGTTAAAATTCAGAGAGAAATTAAGGAAACTCAACGGTATGCCAAAAAACCCTTCTCAGGATCAATCAAATCATGATATCATATAATCGCTCACCGATCAAGAGATAGGGGGTCCCAAGCACACAGGCACATGCATGCAAGAGGTCGTAGTAGTGGCTGTAGTACGTCTTGTAGCCACGATCTCCTTTCACCTCAACAAGACGGAGAAAGAAGTAGTAACAGCACTTGTCACATCGACCGGCGCGCTGCTGGCATTTACAATAGTTTCCCGTGGATGCAGTAGTCTTTTGTCAATTGCTCAATGTGCACGCACAGTCGGTAGTATTACTCTCTCCGTTACGTAAAAAATAAATCTAAAATCGATTGTGATATATTCTAAGCTCCCATCAAATGGCCTAATAATCAGCCAAAGAAAAAAAATATAAATTTTAAATTTTCAAACTTAATTTTAAGATTGATTTTAACATATTTTAAACGTAGTTTCTTTTTCCGCATTGGCTTTTAAGTCAACATGAACACATATAAAAGTTTTTACCTACAAAAATCATTTTTAAGTTACCATGAACCCATATATAAAAGCCAAACGATGTGACCGCTAGTATTATAAACCTAGACAGATGTATATCTATATTCGTAGTGGTAAGATGTGTCATATTCGGTATTAAGGGAGTACACGGTACGTGCAGTGCATCACCGTGACTGGGTTGCTTTTTCTGCATAAGTTGTGTGCATGTTTGCAACAACCAACTGCTTACTTCCAATCTCGCATGTTACTTCTGCAATTCTCTGTATATCCCTGAATGGTGGCATGTTCCAAAGTCACACATATACTCCAGCTAGCTAGCACTGGCCCACCATGCACGTTGCTAATAACAGTACAACAGCAGAAGCAGCACAGTTAATTTCCATCATCATGAATTGAACCCTACATATGTCTGCCCATGATCACTTTCCCATGAACCTTCACTGCCTATATATAGTAATAGAATCCATAAATAAACTACATAAAAAGTTAGCTGGATTGGGCCGCGCTTGCGCGAGCCGGCAGAAATTGGGCTCCTGGCACGCGGCCGCTACAGAAATTTCGCCATATTGGGCCGCCTTAGTCCACGAGCCGTATTGGGTCGTTTTAGGTGGCTAGCCCACGGGTCACGAGCCGGCCAGCTTCTTCTCCCTCCCCATGGCGATCTTGCAGAGTTCATTGCCAGCTAGTAGTAGCTGTTGGAAATCAAAGCACCCACAAGGGACACGGCTAAACTTTACGTTGTCATTTTATCAGGTGATTAGCTAAAATAACTCAAACTGAGTAGCAACAAAGCAAGCCAACTGAAACTTTTGCAAACTGCAGAAAAGAGTAGACCAGTGCAGTTGGCATGGACAGATCTGTCGCATATACCCTTCCATTATCGTTGTCCTCCTGTCGATGCAATGTCCATCTTTTTCCAGTCCGAAAGATCTGCTTCAGAGTATCTTGATGCAGAGAACTCGGCAATAAACAAACCTGTACTACGTGAAGAGCATCACATGGACGGTTATTGGAAACCACCAAAAGCAGCAGAGACACACACACACAGAACATGCAGGGTTGTACTGTACCAGCCACAACACATGATACCTTCATGCCTGCCACTAACAGAATCTGAATCATTGGTTTCCAGCAAAAGTGCAGAGAAGAAAATAATTCAACTCATCCGCATTTCATTTCTTCATTTCCGGACAATACACAGCAATACAAAGGTTATTTACAGACAAGAGAAAGGAGTAGTTACATGCTGCT